TGAAATTCCAAGTTAAATCTTTTGTCTGAATACTGTCGAGCACGAAATTAATAACTAATATTTTATGCATTAATTTTGAATACATTGGTTAGGTATATTTTAAGCTATTCGAGAATATTAAAAATTAAATTATTTAATTTCCGATGGATATTCAATAATCAGAAGAACGACTATACCAACTTTATAAAATAATTTGATGTTTGATGTACGGCGACGTCACTTTAATTCACGGTTCGACCGCATGCAGACTCATATATTACATGATATGTATATAAACTAAAAATAAAAATTGTTGAATTTTGAGGGACATAAGAACTCTCGTGTACTGTACTACTGTAGTATGACTAGTATGTACAACACTATTTAATTGTATAAATATGTTATTATTCTGCGACCTGGATATGCCGTCGTCGTTTGTGCTATAAGCGTATTTTTTTGTGTTGCGCGCTCGGGAACAAAAAATATGCCCCTAATTTACCCGGGTTAGTCCGTCACAATAAATTTTAAATTTGAGACTAAAAAGTAAAATATGTAAGCCCCGAAAGAATAGGTAATCAAACTTACCATCGACTCTTCGGGTAATATATAGGCATATAGCTGCAAGGCGCCATATCTTGAGTGCAGACGCCATATCGAAGAAATTTCTTTCTTCATTTAAACCCGAAGTGAAAAAATCGAGATTTTTTATAAAAATTACTTGAGTAAAATGAAATATGCGAGCAAATGTTTATTGTTGCCTTACACATTTTTTCTTTGGTTCAATGAAATTATTAGAATTGTGAATCGTCCCCAACGAGTGACGACGATCGGCTTTCACCATAGATGATAGATATTATAATATAATATGTTGTTATCAGTTTTCGCGTTTTTGAATTCTTTGTACCTACTCAAAAGATTCCATGTGCATAAATTTGAGCATTTAAGCCATTTGTATTCAGCAGCGAATACTGCATTAAACATTGTTTAACCGATGAAATCCGTAGGATCTGGCCATTATTATTATTGCATATAGCTAACAAAATAGATATAAATATCATGCTATTGAATGCAAATACGTAGCAATTTCTGTTGTTGTAATAAACTAAAATATTTGTATTGCATAGATACACTATGGATTATGCATAATAATATTATATGGTCCTGCATCAAATAAATAATTTATTTATTTAACATATATTTATGTGTAACCATACAATTTAACGTTTCTCATTAAATTTAGAGTGTATTAATTATGAAATACAATATTATATCATAACATTGAGCATTATTGGTCATTTTAAAATATTGTATTTTATTTATTATTATCTATTTTTGAGTAAATGTATTTAAATCTAACCGCAGATTTGTGTTTAACTTGTTATATGTATATTATAATGGACAGTTTATGTAAAAACAAATGGCAGGGTACACCATTGACATTTGTTTGATCTATTTAATAATCTATTCATATGGCCGTCGTTCAACTTTTCTGTAACTATTTTACATTACATAGTTGCAGAATTATTTATACTGCATGAAACCCAGAAAAATTATGCTGATTTAAAATGTATGAAATCTTAGTTATTTATTAACAAGATTATGATTTTAAAACGTACCAATATGTTAATGATATTGTAGAAAAAAAGGGAATTATTAATTTCTTTTCTTTTATTTATGTATTTTAAAATTTATATTTATCAAGTATTGTAGGTTTAGGTGCAGGGGGGTGTGGGTGGCTCTGCCCCCCACAACTCTGATACATTCACAGTTTAGCACCCTGCGTTTTAGAGGTCTAGTTGTGCCATTGCATATAGATAACTTAGAAAACGATAGTTTCGTTGAAGAACCTATAGGGTCAGATACTGAACAAAATTTAGAAACAGTTGAGCAAGAAGTGATTTCACAAACAATAGTTACTGAAGATGCAGAAAATGAAAAATCTAGTAATAAACCATTATTTAAAAAACCAAGAACAAACCGAAAAATGTTACCCAGTGAAAGAGTGGTGGAACCGATGTTGGAATTTCTATAGACAAGAACTCAACCAAAAAAAAATTGATGAGGATACACCTGAACTTTCTTTTTTTTAAAGTACTATTCCAGATTTTTATAAATTAAATGATAAAAATCAACGTCAATTAAAAAAAATTGTATTAAATACCATTGATCGTCGGACGACATTTTGACGACTACTTGATATGCTTTGATTTGACTATGTTTTATCTAGTGTGCTACAACAATGCTTTATTATGACTAAAGCAAAATAACTAAATATGACTTACATTCATTCAGTCAATTTAGGCTTTACAAGTGTGCGGTCACCCTTAATTGAAAGAAAAAACATTGCCAGAAAAAAAAAAGATTAGAAAAAAAGACGATAGAGTTAACTCGGAGACGACAATAAAGAAGACTGCGGAGGTGAAAAAAAGAATATTTAACAGTCGATTGATTTGTTTAAATGATAATGTCTAGATAAATAGTCCATCGGTCATTCTTTAAACACTTATTAAATTTAGGGCAAGACCACTGAATAAAATAATACTCCGCAGAAAACAGTTATTTTATTATTTTTTTTTTTATTAGCTCCTAGTGTAAACTATGATAGCTCAACAATTATTAAGATATACAAAAAATATATTGAGTATACATTTCGAAATAATAATAAAGGAAAATAATAATTAAGTATAGTAATTCATAATGTAGAGCTTACAGATAACACATTTGGTGATTAAAATATTATACATTTATAGTCGATTTGATAAGATTGAAATTCAAACTATGGAATAAGCGGTTTGTTTAAAACAATTAAGTACATTTCTATAAATATTAATAGAGTAGTATACAGATAGTGTCATATAAATGTACGAGTGACATACCTAATAGATAGTATGGAAATAAAAGTATTGTGTATAGTTCATGCAAAATAAAGAGAGAGTTTATTTATAAGGACGGTGAGAAGGGAATGTAGGGGATTTAATAAGGGTTCGATTTCGGAAAAGAAGCTGGGTGACATTATCTCGGAACTTTCGTTTGGTGATCGAGCTTCGGTTATGTTAATATACGATGATGGGCCAACAGTGGGTGTAGTGTTGCGATGAAAATTTTTTTTATTACGAAGAATCTTTTCATATAGTTTAGAATTTTAGATTCATTTTAAAGCATTTGTATAAGCACTTAATACAATAAATAAAGTATTATTTTTGAATGATTTTGTTGTTTTTACTTTCGTACTTTCATGCTGCATCAATATCTGCTTTATTTAATGATAATTTAAAAACTTACTCTATAAAAAAAAAGACAAAGATAGAATCAGTTACATGCTCAGATGCTCACTTTTATTTTTTTTCAAATGTTAATGGTATTATACACATTTTTTTTTAGAAATGTTAAATATACACAAATACCTACTTATAAAAACCATTTGTTCATGCGGTCTTGACATTTTTGTACTAGCTAATAAATTTAAGGAGTATTCTGTGGTGAAAAATATTTTCTTTACCTTTATTTATTATTATTATGACACACAATTAAAAATTATTGTTTGCATAATATTATTACATACAATTCACATGCATGCAACATGTATACAAATACCAATATAAACATCAAATCAACAGTTTGTCCGTTAAAATTATACGTAATTACCTATCAAAGCACTTTGAGGGGTACTCAATATTATTATCATTTTGCGTACCTAATAATTATTTTCATTATTAAGTGAAGTAAACGCTGTACTATAGATTTGTATATGATATTTGCATACGTCTCTCTACCATCATAACCCACGTACACCGTCTAGACAACATAAATTTCCAATACTGGCCGATTAGGTCACACTATGTTTGATATGTATATGTGTGTGGTTATCACTCACTCAGTCACCTAAAGTGGTAGGGAATGCATATTTTAAGATTTTTTTTCTACATTTAGTCAAATTTTAAATTGTTTACGGTTATTCGTTTTAGGACTACAACCAAATATCAAAAAAAAAAAACGATTAATGAGAATTTGTTAATTTACCGGTGAAAGTACGAGAATATCGTAACAATTTTAAGTAAACAATAATGCACTTATTGGCCACTGCACTGCAACCCACAGCTTTGGAGTGTTACTGAGGAAGGCTCAGTGTATCGTTTGTGAGTATGGTCTACGATACTACATAGATTAACAACATAAGAACATTTGAAATTATGACAAATTGGTACTGCAGTTTAAGAATATTGCCTAAATTAAGTGTCAAGACCTATGTGCAAGTATGCAACACTACATTATATTAGATACAATGCATACATGACTTGACCAAATTTTTACAAGAAATTGAACACATCGAATATCCCTAAAAAATATATATTAGCACATAAAAAAAATTGAATATCTACCTGGATAATTACTCCTAATTTATTAGCGGTACGTTATTGTTCATTTTGGTTACCGGGATGCGGTGACTACTACATAAGAATATAATATAGAAAATAAAATATGCATAATAATATGATATTATTATAAATTATAAATTATAATAGGGATTCTAATCATAAACACTATGCCCCAATGAAGTATTGTATCATATTATCAGATATTTAGTGTTTTGTCATCGATAATAATTATTTCAAACGTCAGAGTTATCTTCTTTATGCTGGTTAGTTCATTGGTGGTCACTGGTTAGTAAGTTATTCTCAGTATTTGCATCTGATCATTTTGTATTTTCGCAACAAGTTTGATCATTGTGTGAGTCTATTAGCCTTTTTGAACGCCACTTGGGTTTATTTTGAAACAAACATTTGTGTGGCTGTATTATTGTATCAAACTCTTCACTTGAGTTTATTTCGGAAGCCTACCTGACCTTCCGAAAGCGAAGGGGGGCATTCACGTTTGAAACACAATCAGATCAATTTCATCAGCAAGATACACTATGACTAAAGAATTGTACAATTCAACCGGTATTTACTCAACATTAGGAATTTTTAGTGTTGAAAGACGCAAATTATCACCCAACGGGTGTGAAGATTAGAATTTTAGAGTTGTCTGTTACTTTAAATATTTTAATGATAACAAATCACATGATAACATAACAAATTTCAAATAAATCAGCCACCGACGTTGTTGACAGTGGTTACTGGTCGTCTGTATATGGAAATAATGTTATCCTTGACTTTTAGAAACGATTTCCAAAATGATCGTATTGCGTCTCCAAAGAACGTCCTGCAGGCATTAAATGGCATAGAAATCATGTGACAAAAGGTATTACGGCTAAAGCCATTCATCGGCGTTGTTGATGATTGTTGTGTTGTAGTAGGTTTAGGAACAATATTTACTGCCTATGAACAAAAACAAAATTAATATACATGCAATTAATACAGTTGTACTTGATAGGTAAGTAGTCATCAGGTAGTCATCGGGTGATGGTAATTATTTTATAAAGAAGTCATTAATAGTTGCTATAATCAGAATTCAACTAAATATTATTAGGTATTATCAAAAAGAAATTATTTAGTCACCACTTTTTACATTTTACAATCTAAGTATTAAAAGATTGAGTACAATATAATTAGTACAATGAATAATAATGGTATGATACATAACGTAGATTGAAAGGATACTAAACGACTAATCTCAAATACTAAATACAGACATTTGAATTTAATTCATAATTCTGATGATTTTGTTAGGATTTTCCAACAACTTTTAGAACCCCAAAACCAGCAAACATCATTCCTAGGCTACTATAGTGTTGTCAAAGGTGTGCTATTCTATCGCCAGCAGTCTACTGACCAATGGTTGGTCTGGGTTCCTAGCAATAGCACAAATGAGCTAATCATACAAGTACATCGGCATTTTGGTCATGTTGGACTAAAAATGTGTATATTGGCTATCTGTGATTTCTGCTTTTTTCAAAAGTTTCCTTGGAAGGTCACCATCTGTGACCGTTCGACAATTCGCCAAAAAAAACCAACCTAACCTGACTATGGCTTACATATTCAGAAAAACCAAGACACGATAGTAGGGACAAGCCAACATCATTTTTCGTAGGAAATAAGGTCCTAGTAAAAACCCACTGCATTAGCTCGGCCGTCAACAGATGTATACAGAAGTTCTTTTTAGTGTTTACTATACGAAGGGTCCTATGTTATAACTGTAACGACACCACTGCAGAGGGTTGAAGTCATTGCCGACTATCTGGAACCATAGTTGACCCTCTGCATTTACCCATAATCAAACATTTGATTTTGTCTGTAAGCCAGTCAGGTTCTGCCGTCATTAGTTGTTTTCATATTTCGTCTATTCCGTTTTAGGTTTGCATTATACATCGGTCATCCATGAATGCATTTCCCGTTAGTGACAAACTTTCATGGAGGATGGGGGGGGGGGGGTGTTCTATGACGTGTAATACAAATTATGTTTTCCTTTAATTTTCTATATCGGACATCAGGCCTACCACTGCAAGTATATCGTTGCATATATAATACCTTTATAGTACGCTTTGTCAAGCGCTTATATCAGCGCCCTCGGCCGTGACGATAACCGCTGCCCATCCACCACATTGTACACCGGGCATTATTTATATTTCTCTCTTTCTTTTTCCTCCGACTTTTACGGACGTCTCCAGCGGGTCTAGATAAACTAAGTCTCGAATATTAGTTTCCAAAAAGCACATTTTCTGTTATGTCCGTCAACTATAAAAGTTGTCTTGTTTCATTCACTTGTCATTAAATCCATTGTTTTAAACACACTGTATTTGTAATAAATAACTTTAAGAAATGTAATTTTGAAGTTGAACACTTGAACTACAACCGATGACTATAGTTTTCATAGTCGCGAGTCGGTATAATTGACTTATTATTTGAAGATACGTTTTTTTGATAATCGATAAACGGATAATAAAGTGTGATAATTTTAGTGCTCATAAGGTCTTTCCAAACGCTATAGGTAAATCGGTAATCGATAATCACTAACTGATGACTATAGTTACTATACAGTACTCATTGAATGTAGAGACTTTTTATTTTTAAGTTATCGTCGTTATTTATAAATTATTTTTTTGAAAAATATTATTACTCGGGCTACGACACGATTGAGCATAGAACACCTTTTTTGCTCCACGATTGAGCATAAATTGTCGGGGCATCAAAGGAAATTGAAGTATAAAAGAAAACCAACACGATTGAGCATAAAAAGTTCTGCAACGTTGCCATTTTCAATTTTGAAATGTATTATACAAAAAAATTTATTTAAATAATTATAATAATTCAAAATATAACATAGTATATAAATCTGTTTGATAATAATAAAATAATATTAATAATAGTTATGACTTATGAAAATAATAAAATCAAAATATTTATAAATCAAATTGATATACCTTGGTATCTGTTTCCAAGTTGGCTTAAATATATTAATAAAGATTCCTTATTCTTACGATTTAAATACTAGTTGCAGGCTTGAATATTAAATTCAATTTTTTTTTATTTCTTTAGCAGATTGTAATTTTCTGGGCTCATGGCTGGCGCAGATATAATAATAATTGGTGTAATAATACGTGAAAATAATAAATTACAAAATGTTGGCAACGTAAATTTGGCAACATCGCATAAAATATTCGATGCTCAATCGTGTTGCTAAAAAGGTCTATGCTCAATCGTTTTATGCTCAATAATCGTGCTTTACCGATTACTCGGGACTCAATTTACCTAGCACGTTAAAGTTTTCAGGGCTCAAATTACCTAGCCCTAATATCCACCCTATTATTTGGGACTCAGTTCACCACTCCAGTCTCCAGCGACTGAAAACCAGTGTCCAACTGCTTCTATTATTATATTGTTTAAAACGTAAATATGGAGTGAGGTCCACCGAGTCGCCTTCACGGTGGATTACCGTCGGTGGACAGATGAAGGATCGGATGATGGTTGTGTTGTATTTTGTTTTCCTTGTAATTTATGTTAATAAAATATATATTTGTCTGGTGCTTAAAACTTTTCAATGTACTTATACATAATATATATATTACGTAATGTATACCTCGGCGTCTACGAGCGACCGGGCCCCCTCTCGAGGTTTTGTATTATTATTATTATCGTTGGTATACTCAATGACTACTGTCAATGGCATACATTAATTTGTATTCTTTTATGCCTTTTTTTTTTTTAATTTTCTATTCTCTTTTGATGTCTGAGTTTTATGCCGTCCGGCTTTCTCGGAGTCAAATAAATTTTAAAAATAAACAAATAAAAACATTATCATCTTATCACTATTCTTGAGATCGCGAGTTTTTATTTATTATTATTATCGCATTCCTACTTTCTTTCATTACTCGTTAAAAAAAAAAACAAAAACAAAAACCACCATGCTCCCGCTTTTTGGGCCTCGGTTCGTGGTTGGCGACCTAGTCGAGCCCAACGGACTACCACATGACGCTTGACGCACAATTTCTTTTTGACGAATTATCGAACGGTCACAAGTTAATAAAGTATCCAAGTTATTCATTGCGTTATCGAAAATGTCATGCTAGTCCTATAATAATATTATAAAAGGTAAAGATAAAAACTCTAATATATTTTTTAAGTATTTTGGACTCCATGCGATTGGACAAAACATTGTATTGGACTAAAATGTAATTAGACTTCAAAAATTTGACAACAAATATATTGGACTATACCATATTCTAGCCTCAACATTATGTGAAATAATAGATTGGACTAAAATGCCATAAGACTAACATTTTTCAAGCTTAGTTTAGCAAAGCTTAGCTAGCTTTCAAATGGTTTAAATAATTAGTTATAAATAGCAAAGAACGTTGTGCACTGAAATACAAAATATATTCACTCTTTTAAAGTGCTGTGTTTCAACATTTTTACTACACAGTTTTTGCCCCCCCCCCTCCCCCCCAAAAAATACTCTAAAATTAGATTCTTAAGTTTTTAAGTTTTTTGATCAAAACTTCCAAAGAAATTTTGACCGAATGTTTTTAAAACTACCACCTTAATAATCACTCACATACACATATTTTGAAAAAAAATCGAATAGTTATAGTTACACCATGATTTCTACACATTTTTGGAATGGCGCCAGCCATAAGACATATCTATATCAAAAATAATACTTTGAGTACTACTTGTAATATACAACAACATTTACAAAACTTAATATAACATACAAAATATTGACATATATTTTTTTGTAACCGGACTAATGATGAAAATCAGCGTACTATTACATAGAATTCGACATACAAAATATTGACATAGGTACTTATAACAAATGTGTAGGATTATTTTATTACTTATTATATCGATGATGGTTTAAGTGATTGTTGATGATTGCAGTCTTATAGTTTTATATCGCATTATATTTGAACTAACTATATGAATTCTACATAACAACACATTATATTATACATACAATGAAAAAATATGTTTTTATGTATATTAATATTTTAGTTATGTGAGAAATGTGTACCTACCATTGTAAATTATAATTATTTAATTGTACTAACTATTAAATGAATTGATATTTCAAAATGGGAAATTATGGGCCCCCACACGAACATGTTGGCCCATTGTGTTCTTGATGAATAAATAAAAACAATGAAATAAAAATTTTAATTTAAATGCATTTTCATATTGTTGTAGCGCACATATACTGTTATAAATATTTGCCGACCATTAACGCGATTGGGCATTCATTCAATTTGAATTAATAAAAACATGACTTCAGGTACTATTCATAATCAACAGTTTCATATTGAGTAAGAAACATAATATTATTTATTACTCTGTACGTAGGCTAGCAGTGCAAGTAGGTCAGGTTAGGCAACGTAGTTTTATAAAATATCAGTTTAACTGCACATAATATTATATAGCCTACCGATATCATATAAATAACATAATTTTTGATCATTTATTAATAAATTAGGAGGACGTTGTTCCTACATCTGTTGTCTCCGTTTTACTAACGCATAATATGTCAAAATGTTCCCCCATTAGTCCCAATTTAACTTTAATTGTTAGCTTAAATATTAAAGTGAATTGACCTATTATAAAACTTCAATTTAAGAATATTATTTATGGTCACTCGTTAGTTTTTTTACAATATTTTAATTTTTAATATTTTACATACTCATAACTCACTTTAATTCACATTTAAGTATGATAAAGTATGATAATAGGTACTTAGGTCAATTCACTGCAATATTTGAACAAACTATTTAGAACTGGAACTACTGGACGTACCTACATATTGGTGTATTAGCGGGTACGACGTCATTTTAATTAAGAATTCAAAATTTGTATTCAAAACATTGTTGTTTGCAAAATAAAAGTTTAATAGTTTTTTAAATTCTTTGATGTACTAGTAGGAAATGGATTTTGTACTTGAATAGCATTGCCGGGGACTTCCCAAAAAATAATGCATTTTGCATTAAAGTACGGACCCTATGTTGTTACAACTTATAACTTATAATCATTTAAAGTTAAGTCGAGTGGAGTTTATTATGTCGGTTTACTACAAATTTTTAGAATAGAGGAGGTCCTAAAAAAAACTGTCAACAATAATATTATACCAGGTGGATTATTTTGTACTAGACGGGGTACATTATATGACACCAGCCTACTGTGCAATTTGCACAGTGGCACAGTGGTCCAGTCCGCCCCTGGTCATCACATAGATCATGTTAGACACCTTATAAACGAAATAGTCGTATAAATATAAAATCACATTTAGTTACCAAATTTGAAACTATTTCAAATAATTTATATGCGAAAACTATTATAAATTGAATAAACTATCTAAATTACATCGATTTATAGAAATACCAATTGATTACTGAGTAGATTTTCAAGTAGTGAAGACCACTGTGTTTGATATCTTACATTAAAATTAAAATTATAGAAACAGTCAATGATTGTGAATCTTCATTAGTGTAAAAATTGAAATATTGTATTATTTATAACCATGGTAGGTACTTACACCATTAGGATTTTACCCCACCTATTATGTAATTGTTGTAAGACGAATTAAGTATCATTTATGACTTATTTTTAGTATAGCTAATATAATAAGTATAAAAAATTACAGGTGTAGGTTGTATTACTTGATCTGGTTTGGGGTTGTTTGCATCGACATTGCTTGCAGCATCTGACCCACTTGGTTTGGCGGTAACGTCTGCAGGGTCAGGGTCTGCACAATTTATAAGCTAATCACAAAATAAATCACCATCAGAAACTGCTGTCATTTTATTTAGAAAATTAATGAATCCGACTATAATTCAATATTTGCAAATGACAATAATAGCCATAGTATATATTATATTATATTATATTATAATATATACTTTTGCAAATTTAAATTTATACCCAACGTAACGATTTACATAAAACAAAGGTTTAAATTGTAAGGTCTTTTAAAATCGGTGAAGGTTAATTTTGTCTTCTTTTAAAATTAATTTTCCATCGGACACAATGTACCTATATTTTAAAGTGTTTCCATCGCTTCGTCTCAATTGAATTGTTTTGAAATTCAATTGACGAAAAAAAACGAATAACACTAAAATATTTTATGTTAAAAAAACTCTTGAGACTTACACGAACAGAAGAAAATATTACAAACACTGATAAAATAATCGTGCTTTGCTTGGAAAACATCATTTTGAAAAGGCCGTTATTGTTTTTCACTAAAATTTAAAAACAAAATATACAAAATGGATAATATTTTTAAAAAATTATTTTAATAAAAAAAAAAATAATAATTACCGAATGACATCTATGCCGACTATATGACCAGTTAGTTACAATTTTGTTTTATGCTCGTTCGTCATTCTCAGGTATAAACTACCTACAAGCATATAATTAGTATTATAAATAACTAGCTTTGTAATAATTTGTCATAATACCATGAAATATTACTGTCACAATAATACAAATTCAAAACGGTGCTTAAAAAAGGTAAACAGGTAAACATAAAATTAGCAGTTTGAAAACGAGTTATTGTTATTGTTATGATATTCATAGAAACATAAGCTAAATAGAGCAGTTGTCGCTTCGTATATCATGAGTATAAATAACGTGCTTAAGTCGAAAAATATTCAATATAAAACAATATGTAATAATAGTCTGATTATTCGGTTTATTTGCTCAGACATTATTGAATATCATGAAAATATATAAATACTAATTATTAACACGGGTCATAATAAATACAATAAAATATATAACAGAAATAAATGGCCAATGAAAAACATGATAAGTATGTAGACTTTGAATGGCTTGATTACTTGGATCGAGACATGACTCAATATAAAAAAAAAAAATAAGCAGGTAAATGTTTTTCTGTAAAAATAGCCAAAATTATTATTGATGATATATATTACATAAACATTTACTTTTGTTTATTCTAAACCTTATAAATAGCTGCTTATATAAATTTAAAAAAAAAAAAATAACTTAACTTAATAAGTTAATTATAAGTTTTCAAATAACTTTTAACTTAACTGAGTTAAAAAAAATAGCTATTTACTTTAAACTTTTTAAAATGTTTTCTGTCAACTTAACTTAACTCAGTTAAAAATTATCATAATCTTTCCCAGGTTTGGTATATTGTAATAATTTTTTATTTTTATTATTTAATATAGGTAGTTAATATGGACAAATTTAAACATGATATACAATTTTTTGAAAAATTTAAAATGACCAATTTTTAAATTTGGTTTTTAAAAAAATGTTGACTGTAAAAACGTTGATTTAAGTCGTGTGGCTTATTTTTTTTTGGTTTTTTGAAACGTCTGGTATTTTTAAGTTATTAGTTGATATATAGATTGTTGAAAGCTATTCAACGGACTTATTTTATTAATTATAATAAATATTGTTTTTGATATGTATCCCATATGTTTATTTTACAATTTATAAATTGAGACATTAACAATCAATAGGGATTATATTTAAATCCGGGCCTCACGGCTGACTTAAATAATTGGGCGCTGATCAATTGCCTCCCGTGAATTTTTTTTTAAAAAGGTAACTTGAATTGCCTCCCGAAGAAAAAGTAGTCGAAAAAGTAGTGAATTCTAGAATCTTGTACTAGAATCGGCTCAAGATTGACATAAATGAAATGACAACAATATTGTTGGATTTGACAAATTAATCTGTCTAGGAAATACTGTATGTCTTAAAATTATATTATAACATAAATGAAATTGATATAATAATCGATAGTATAGATACGATAAACTATCGATAATCTAAGTATGCTATGGGAGGCAATTCTAGTAGTCTGTTTGGGTATACTCGAATTGCCTCCGAAAACACCCGGAGGCAATTCCAGTGAAAAAAGGTTACCTACCTAAATTTGGGAGGCAATTCGAGTGTTGCCAAATAAATTGGAAGCGTCCATTTTATTAATTATTATTGAATTCAAATTTGACATAAATATACATTACAGTGACTTAGTCAAATATTTCGAAATTCCGAAATTAGGAATATACAAGTGCTATAAAAAAAACTTTGAATGTCGATAAGGAATAAAACATCGAAAGAAAACAATAGAAATTTCATAGTAATGATTTGTATACGGTTTTGGACTTAATTGAAAGTTGAATATGTATATAGGTAAGCGTTACTACTCGTTTTATGATTTGCATAGGCTTCAATGGTTTCGTTTTATTAATTTTAGATATTTGTTGATAACTGAATATAATATACACTTCTTTTTTTAAGCTGGAAGAGAACAATGAAAAAAAAATCTGTTTCCGAACACTTGTAGTCATAATCATAAACATCTGTCAGTTGTCACTCTATTACATATTACAGTAAAACCTCCTTTAACGGACCCCCTATAAGACAGAAATCTCTTTACAATAACAGTTCAAAATAACAACAGTCCAGTATAACCTATATCCCATATATTTTAGTTTCCTTATAACGGAAGCTCCTTCATAACGGAAATATCAATTTGTATCGAGTGATTCCGTTATAAGAAGGTTTTACTGTACAAGGTGATTTTTTAAGCATACTCACCCAATTTTTATGCTTAAATTAGACATATATTTTTTAATACATTTGAAGTACGTTTTTTCGAATACTTGATCATTTTTGTACCAATTAATTATGCTCCTGTGACAATACAAACTTAAGTTTTTCAAATAAAAACTCCCACCCCTCTTTCACTTTTTAATTATTCAGCAGATGCTAATTTTTAGAATTTTGATGTATCAAATTCAAAATTCGAACTTATAGTTTTTAAGTTATACAACTTTGTGAACTAAGGATAATATGTTTAAAGTAGTATTCTAAGTAGATTTGGAGTCTTAAATGATTTGAATATGTTAGTAATTAAAATCGATCTATCTGCGACATAATACATAAATAATTAGTAAAAATAATCAAAATTCTAAGTATAATGAAATAAATGAATACTATATCTAATATTACATAAAATAGGTAGCTTATATTTTATATCTTCATAAAGCGATATTTATGGATTAATGTTCTAAGCATAGACATTTAGGGAGTAGCAATAGTGAACAGCATCGATAGAGATAGATGAAGTAGTGAAGTTGAGGCAGTAAAAATCCTTCAAGGACCATGCAACTGAAGAAGTATTAATATTTAAATAACTCAGAAACTACTTGTTGAAATTTTGATTTAGATATATCAAAATTTTCAAAAAAATATAAGTAATTTGAAGTAAAAAATGGGGGTTCTCATTTGAAAATTAGAGTTTTGTATCGCCACAAGACACTCTTTAAGTAATACAAAAAATACCAGGAATTTTCAAATATGGCCTTTAGGTATACTTGAATATTCTAAAACTCAGAATTTGAATAAATTATATTATATATTATTAATGGAAAAAATAGAGATAGCAAGTCTAAGAAATCACCATGTATGTATATCTAATTCAAGTAATTTACTATTGTAGCAATGCTAAATACTAGCAACATACAATAAATCATAAACTAAATCTGATAGGTACCTACTAATTTTAGTATACATTTATAAATGTACTAATAATTCCTCAAATCTATTTTTGAAATATTTTTATTGTGTTTTGAACCACTTTTACATGGCGGACTGTCCTATTTTTTTTAAATCACATTTACTAGTTTTACTCTATCCATCTATAATTTACCACAGTTATAACTAACCGTATAAAATTCTTTTTAATTGCTCTTTCATTTTAGATTCCGTCTTTTCATCACTCGAATTTGTTTTTAATAACTTTTCTAATGGACCTGACGAGATTTTCACTTGTCTGCTTTACTGCTTTACAACTGATGTCATGAAATTGATAATCCAACATCATATATCATTTTTAAACTGTAATTCAATGAAAGTACTGTCCATATAGTATTGAAAACCTGGTGTATAACCTCTATTTTTAAGGCAGTTGATCGTACCGATGTTTCTTGGTATGATTATACACCCATCTATGTTCTACTTCACCTAGCTATACATTTTTTGAATCCATAACGTCTTCCTTATTCAAGGAAAGTACCGGATAACGTGGATAACTAACACAACTGTCACCTAGGGAAGTCCACTATCACCAGTTTTATTACATTTACTACCTAAATTTAATATACCTTTCAGGCTGGTAGGTAGTAAAGATGAAACAACTTTCGATGACTTCAAAAAAGCATTTGAATTGGTCAACCATAGCCATTTATTTGCCGTGCTTGAATCCCTTTTAATTATTTATGAGGTTGTCAACATCTAATCACAGCTAGATAGTATCAATTTTATCAAATATGTTGGTTTTTAAAAGACTTAATAGTTAATATGCAAAATTATAGAATAACCAAAATAGCAAGACAATGTCAGAACTTCCGCTTAAATATTATACCTATGATTATTGTTTATTGTGCATGATTTTTGTATGACTACATTTTTCTTTAAACAAAAAAAGTTGTTTTCATTGTTTTTTCGAGTATACCTATACAACCTACAATATAAAAATAAAGTAAAATTAATTTTATTATGAATGCGGAGAACGATAAATGGAACACTATGAACCAGTCTATATAATTTCTTGCAATGAAATGACAAACTGGTAATCACAAAGTTAATAATATTTATTTTATATTTATTAAGAATAAAACCGTTATTAATACAATTATAAAATGACTGCAACATTAATTATTTTAAATCCTATCATTTATTTTATCTATAGTTATTTATTGAATATTTATCTCATTCCTGGTTTTCGTTTGATCAACGTTCGTATTCTGATGAAATGGTATTATGTGCTTCATTATTTTCCACGATTCCTTTAAGGGCCAGAAGCATAAACCAATGGATTTAGATACCACATGACGAATTTTGGTAGGAACTGATGTTTTCATTTGATCTGACTCATTTATTTCTTCTCCATCCTGTAGATAACCAAACACTAGAGTTAACTGTCAATAAACATTAATTTATTTTCGTGAAATGGACTATTATTATTATTATTATTATTATTATTACTACTGTATAAGAAAGTAAATAAAATTAATAATATTACACAAATTTAAATTTAAATAACATAAATAGAATTTTGGTAACTGTATAATTTATGAAAATATTGATGGGCACTTCTTTAACTTTTGACTTCAAACTTTAAATTTTAAATGGAATATAAGTGATGTGGCTTGAATTATATTATTAAAAAAGTAGCATAATTAGTTCTTCACTATGTTCAAAATCTTAAAGCCTTAACTGAAATAAATACATAAACTAAACATAACCTTTAACTGTTAATTAAATAAAAGTTGATTATAATTTGGAAGTCTGCCCTGGATTCTATATTAATATAATATAAAGTTTATAATTATTAATTTTAAATAAAGTAAATCTAATACTTTATTCAATAAATTAGGTATATACCAAAGTAGGGTTTGCTGGTTTATTATAATTATTTGCAAGAGCAGATTTACTCATATTTGTTTTTGTTGCACCGCCGTTAGCAGCAGCTGAACTCGTTATAAACTGTATGTAATAATTAAAACAAAATATCAGTTGTGATTACAATATATTTACATATTAAATATATTATAGGTACCTACATCAAACATTATAGAGCCTAATGATTTAACTTAAATGGTTTTTAATTAAATTGTAGATTTTGGTTTTGGGTGTTGAATAGATTGTTATGTTCAATTGGGATAAAAAAAAACAAATTGTTGTGACCCGTTTCACCAAAAAATGACTTTCCTTGTTTCGTCTAAATGCTGTTTGTTATTATTCCCGTTTTGACCTGAGTAGTTTCCAAATCTCTATGTCATCTATCATCTATGGATTAAATATGCTCAAGGCTGTTTTCTGTCAACTCTTCGATACCCATTTTATGGGCCTCCAAAATATATCAACTGGCTTTGGGATTAAATTTACAAATATGAGGTGTCATTGAGATTTTTACTGGAGTCTCTTCCAAAATTGTCTCTATTCCTACTGTAAAGGAGGAAATACTAAAGTAAAATAATAATAATATTTTTAAAAATCATTTGGTCACAAAGCGTCTTATGATTATTAATATATAATAAACTAATAATTAATATAATCAATATAATTAGTATTTTAAGAATAACACTTACGTTAATATTATATATTTATATATATATATATATAATATAATAATAATGATTATTATTATTATTTATACTAAAATGACAATATTGATAAAACTATTACCGATGGAGATTCTGAATTATTGATGGAAACATAAGCACTCTTATTAGGTTTGGTAGCAAAAACAGTAGTGACAGTTTTGTCCAAATAAGGAATGCACTAAAAATAATAACATAAATAAATCAACATCAATGGTAGCAGTGATATATTGTAACATGAATATTTTATTTAAATAATTAAATTTGATTATGAAAATGTGAACGATTGTGAGACAGTAGCGACCAAGTTAAAATATTAACATGACTTTGGTGCTCCGAGTGTTTACTCAATGTCATACGCAATAAGTGAGTTGATTCCCGAGACCTTTCTCGTGTATTAGTTGATTCCCGGGTCATTAAGAAGTACGTACGAGTTGATTCCCGGGTCATTATATATATTTTATTCAATATTTAGTAAAATATTCAGCCTATTAGCATAACCCAAGAAACACCACGAGGAGGTTGGCTGACAAGTTTCTCAAAAATGTTGTTTTTTTTAGTTTTTTCATATTTTGAAAATCATTCAATTTTTATTTATTAATTATTTATTGAATTATATTATTATTAAAAACATTTAGTAGTAACTAGGTAAAAAAATATAAAAAAATTTATTAATTTGGTCAAAATTTGTCACATTGTTTTTAAATTAGTATCTAGTAATGAGATTACCAGTATACCGTGACATCTCTTCTCTTAAATTTTTTTTTTTGTAAATTCGCGCGTGGTCTCGGTGGATATAAGAGCGAGTTGTGTGTCGGTGTTTGTCAATTGCGCCGATTTTTCTAGACTACCTGAAATTTATACATTTTTTGCGCCGGTGGATTTATCCCAAACGAAAATGGTATACGTCTTTTGCGCCAATAAATTTATCATAAATTAATTTGGTATACATAATATATTATATCTGTTGTGCCAGGAAGATATTATAAAATATAAAATATCATATTATTATACTATTATTAGATTATAATATAATTATCAAACATATAAAATAAAGTGTAATTTAAAAAATATAAAAAATTTAAAAAATCAAAATACATATAAATAAACGATGATAAATTACATATGAATAATTTGTCAAAAAGTATTAATTCTTGTAATGGTGACTTACCGACTTCACAAATTGAAACATATTGATAGTACCGTCATATTATCATGTTATCTCATTTTTATTAGCGGATATTCCGATTTGACCAATTTATTGTATGTAGATAGATAACGTATAGTATGTACAGTTTAAAACGTCACGATTTTAAATCGTCCGTGTGTAATATAAACGCAGACGAGTACGTTCAAATCGCCTAGTGTGTAATCAGCTTATTTTTCAACTTCAGTATTGCCGGCGCAATTAATGTATAATCTTTTTTGGGCCTAAATATCGTCCGGCGCAGTTGATGTATAACCTTTTTGAATCCCATAATTTTTTTTTCCTTACCTGTGATTTCTGGCGCAATTGACATATACCCTTGTGTGTGACGGTCAAACTCTTTATACTGTCGTAAACTCTCTACTCTTGCAATCTATTGATAATTGATATACAACAATAGAGAATCAACTCGTACGTACCCTCTAATGACCCGGGAATCAACTCAACGGTGTCGGTGCAGGTAAACAGGTACCCGGGAATCAACTCGTACGCAGCCATGTCATAGTTTAATAATGGACGCTAGGTTATAATACTGAATTCCATTAATAACAAATCCTATATACTATAGTTTTGGTGTAAGATTTGAACTTTTAAAACATTACCATATAATATTCTGGACACTCCAGTAATATTATATAATAACGACTCCATCTAGATCTAGTAAGTATCTATTAAGTCATTAAGTCAATACAAGTTACTAACGTTAAATCGTTTAGTTAATATTGTGCTCATTAAAAACAAAAATAAAATATAAGATCGATTGTAAGTACAAAGCTTAGTAAAAAAATGATCATAACATTTTTTTGAAATAATTTTATATGGTTTCTTTACATATCTATGGTATATAAAAAGCAAACGAAAGATATTTTGATAACTACATTCTAATTTCTAAGTATTGTAAAAATTGGATAATATTCATTATTAGTGTCATGGGTCCTCTGCAGTAACCGTCGATTTAAATATTTTTTTAAATGTCCTATTAAGTATAAATTATTAAATATAATTTAAACTAGCCAAACTTACTTGAACCACAGATAACATCACAATCGCTGGTATAAAAATCCATGTTGAAATCATTGTAAATTCGTTTAATATAGTATACAAATGTAAACTAAATCGAAAACTAACAATAAAGATGCTCACGGACTACGAAGTTTTTATGTTACTGTTTGATGCCACTATGTGGGATGGCAATTTAAATGGTATTCCGTTAAAATGTTATAGAACAAAGGATTTGTGTTAGGTTAATATAATAATCATAATTATAATAAAATTAGTATCGTTAAAAAATATAATCTTCAAAAGCTGTATTTTATAAAACTTGTTTAAATATTATTCTATTCAATATATTGTTATCATTATTATAATATTCCCATAACATTTTATACGGTATGATAAAAGTTCAACAAATATGTTTTAAAAATATTTAAAAAATTGTTCATTATGATGTATCTTATGCTTCACACATTGAACAGAGAAATAATTAAATTAATGACATATATTTAACTAAGTACATTGTGCTTTTTGCCATCAAAGATAATTGTTTATTTATCATTGATATATTGAATAATAGAACTCAGTATAGTTTATATTGAAACATATTTCCCTAATCATTAGAAAAAAATAGAAACAGCAATAAATTATATGAGGTACTATACTTACACCTCGCATGAGGGTGATCATTTAAACTCTGCTCGTCAATGACAGGTAGGTAATTAAAACGTCAATAGTTAACTATTGCTTAGGTTAACTAGTACTAAATTATAATTAACTAGACTCTAATTTTCTAGTGATCCACTTTGCGCCAAAATCAAAATTTCTATTTACCGCCAAATCTGTTTACCTACAGTACAATAATACGTACTTCCCTTCTCCGCCATCACAAATTTCAGTTAATAAGCAATAAATATAAATTATATTGGTAGAGCAATAGATTTATATAAATACAATATATATAATAACATAATGAAGTTCATATAAATTTACCTATAATGTTTCTATATATAAATCAAATAAGTAGTATGTTTAATATTCAATTATAACCATACTAAATTACACAAATTAGTATTTTTACAAGTGAAATACATATTATTATTATATTTCATCAACATTTTATAGATAAACATTTTAAAAATAATTACTATCATTTATCACTTTCTGATTAACTAAAGACATTCATTTTAATAATTTCCCAAATGTAATATTTCCATTCTTTCAATGAGGGGTTACCAAAATATACAAACTGAAATTTTTGGTGGAAGAAAATAGAAATATATATTGCTATACTAGCAGTAAACGCAAATGTCGATTTTGGCAGAAAAAAGTGACAACCCAATTTCCTATGCAGCACAACTCGATTCTCCTTTCCGCCTTGGACCGTAATCATGTTACACCGGGTATAACTGTTTTTGACTAAAATAGCAAGTACCCTTCCTTTTTGGCCAAGTTTAAAAAGTTAAATATTTTGCTATATCATACATATATATCAAAAAGTATTAAAAATAGTACACCGTGAATCTATATATTCTATGTGATTTATTGTAATGAAGTGAGAAATTGATAATCACAAAAAAAAATAATATTTATAAATATATTTTTTTTTAATAAACAAAATTGATTCTAATACAGTTGTATAATAACTAAAACTGCAACAATTATTATTTTGAATCACGTATCTATGTCGTTATTCATTGAATGGTCATCTCATTACGAGTTGGCGTTTGTTTTGGAATGATATTTTGAGGTAAAGGTATAATTTGCTTGATTACTTTCCACGATTTTTTGAGGGGCCAGAAAAATAAACCAATGGATTGAGACACCACATGACGAATTTTTGCTGGAACTGATGTTTTCACTAAATCTTGTTTATTCAATTCTTCTTCGACCTGTAAATAACCAAACACTAGAGTTTATTATCATTCATTTATCATTATTCAAACAAATTAAATACCACTGTATGATCTGCTGGTTTATCATCTACGACAGCAAATTGCTTTATACTTGGTTTCAATTCACTGCCATTCAGAACTGAACAGGGTATAAACTATATAATTTGTATAAAACAAAACAAATATCCGTTATAACTACAATATATTAATATCTTATGCCTACTATAACTCAAAAGTTATAACATATATTATATTTTATTTTATGGCATATATTATCCCTTAATAAATAATAATTATTAAAAAAACTATGTTAAAAATACAATAAAATACAAAAATACGTTTCATATGAAATTATTATAATGAAAATTTTTAAGTTTTCTGGTTAACCTAAAAGTTGTATGTTTTCGGGTAATGTTGGTTCAGATTGTCAAATGCTTTTACAGTTATTAGGGGATCTGATTAATTTGTATACAAACTAAAAGAGTAATACATCAGTGAGAACGATCAAAGAACATAGGTACATTTCATATCACATCCGATGATCAGAAAATTCTTGTACTGTGTAAATAATGAAAATAAACTGAAATGTTATTATCCTTAAAATATAATTAGAAGACTATCACAGCAATTTGACATAATGATTATAACTAGTGAAACTTACATTGACTGAGGAAGCAAATACAATTGTGAAAATCAAAATGCGTGTGGTAATCATATTAACAGCGTCTTTTAAAATTCACTATTAAAACTTAAACTAGGTACGAAAGACAATAAAATAAGGGGAGTAAATCAAAATATTATCAGTTAACACGTATTAATCAGTCATTAATTAGCGACTATGAGGTAGATACCACAATGTGATGTTATATGGTTTTATTTTTTTTTTTATCATGAATGTGTATTCTCAGTGCACAAACATGTTTATGTGCAATAATTATACCCAACCCACATGTGTGCTATAATGACAAGTTTTCCATAATATTATAAATACTTGTAGTTAAAAAAAAAAATATAAAGTTTAAACGATGTCAGTTTTTTTTTAGTGAAATGTAGCCACGTAGGTATATATACTTAATCGTTTTAGCGTGAGTTATCGAGCTGGATAATATTTGTTTGTATTGCGTTCACCATTTAGCTAAATTATTTTAAAAAACATTATTTCCAAGGCACTAAAAGGTCATGTAAATATTATATGAAGTTACAATAAAAAATGTTTGTAACTATTATGATGTTAATAAATAATATTTCTTAGTTTGGGTGATTTGTATTTAGATCACCTTACTCTCTCACTTCTTGACCTGATATTTGGACAAAACATGAAAATGAATAATATTGTGTATTATATTACTGGACACGATTGCATATCATATTATGAAGTGCATAAAATATATCAAACAATTGATAAAATATATTGTACGTTAGGTTATGTATAAATAATCAAATAATCAAATTTAATAAAGAAAAGAAAATGATAAAAATCACAAATATTTCATCTCATATTGCGCATATCCTAATTTTCCGATAATTGTTTTTTTTTTTGTTCAAGGAAGAACAACTTGTGGGTAATCTTCTGTTAAAATTTCTAAAGTTAGCTATGAAAACAAAACTTTTATGAATTTTTAAATGAAAAATAATTCATGAAATTTGAAAAATGCTCTATAAAGTATAAATAGCTGAAAAAAACTAAAAAGATTCAAAATAGTTTGGAAATGTTATCATATATTATGGAGTGCTTTAATATAAATATATTGTGAAAATGTCAAGTATCTAAGGTTACCTTCTTATTTGTTTTTGAATTACAACTAAATATCAAAAATCGGTTAATTAGAATTCGGTAATTTATATTGTTGAATATCAAATATCGGGTAAATTTTTGATTCAAACGCTCATAAAAATTAATGTTAAGTTTCAGTAACCTTTTGTTTTTTTGATAAGTGCAGAAAATGTAATCCTCTATTACAGCGTTTCCCAACTAAGGGGAACGACCTAATAGTGGGTGGTGAAATCTTTTTGATGGGTCGCGACTCGTGGTCACAATTACTGCTATTTTTAGCCGTAAGTTGATACCTCTATATTCAATATTGTATAATAATAATGGGAAGTACAACTAGTATTGTAGAATGTATGATATATTTTTAGTAATCTTTATATTACTTTATTACAATTATGGAATATATTTTGTAATTAACGATTTTCGCAGAAATACTCCGACTCTTGCCGGTCTTTACTATCTAATATACTTGCAATGATAATATTAAATAATAAGGGTATTGTTTACTCTTTTCTCTACAATCTGTACGACTCGAGATTGTTCTATAATGTCTGAACTGTTCTCCGTCACTGTTAATATTGTTAAAATTATATTTTTATAAGTTATAACATGTAACTTAAACATGGATCTATAACTAATATAGTTCAATTTCAAGAAGGATGGAATTTACTCAAACCATACGAATTAGATGAAAAGAGATTAAGCCACAGAACAAATATTTTAGACCACTGGAAGACTATGAAGGCAACACATCCGAAAATCTATAACCTTATATAATAGTGTTTTCTGTTCTAGTAACTCAATTCAGAATAGAGCTCTTCTTTTCAGACTTAAATATATAGTATCATCGTATGATGCAATATAATCCCCATACTCCAGGAAGAACAATTTTATTATTAGTTAAAATAGATCATGAGAAAAAAATTTTAAAAAAAATTCTCAACAATAAGAGTGCCTACTAATATTATATATTTTGGATATTACCTATATTGATATTAGAAAATAATAACTAAATATATTATTATTGTTTATGCATTCCGTAAATATCTCTCTCCTTAATTTTAATCAGTCCTTTAATGGAAAGCATTGAAAATACTTGGATTTCTCAAACGTTTATCATCTCCTCTGAAATAAAATTGGACAGTTCCTTAAAGATTTTATTTTGTTTCTTAGTCCGAATTTTTTTTTGATTACTAATCAGTTATCTGGGACTCTCGATTGTGTATAGAATTTCTAATGACAGAACGTATACGTTAATGCATTAACGTAAATTCCTATCATTTGCTGCCTATTTAATGAAAGCGCCTTGTCCTCCACATGATTACGAGCCAGTCCGTCTAGCTTTAAATTTATCCAGTCTTGATAATAGTGGATGCAGCGCAAATATTTAATTTGTTACAAATCTCTTAATCTAACCTAATTGACTACCTTATCCTCTTTCATCAGATAAATTTTAAAGTTTCACTACGTCTCAATAATAGATATAGTCCTCCGTTTTTATTTCCATTTTCTTCTTCTAGTTGTTTATTAAGCGCAACTATTTATTGTCTTTTGCGTGTTGCTAACGAGTAATGGCCCTACCTTTTGAAACAGTAACTCTTTGGCCTGTTTCGTAGTATTGAAATAATAACTCCGTTTTCATGGTATCAGATCCTCTGTTTATTTCTATTGCAGGTATTATTTACGTATTTAGGTCGAGCACTCTAGCACGGCAGCCAGGCTGGAAAGCGGGTTGTCGAGTTCGGCGTAGTTCCACGACGACCCAAGGGCTCTGTTCTTTTTATAATATAAGGTAATATACGTAGATCAGGGGATTACACAATATTGGAGAACGGGATTCACAAAATAATAGTGTCTGGCTCTCGATAGCGACTGCTACCTTGAATTGAACCTGGGCGTGGCAAGCTCTCAAAAGCGGTCTATGAAGAGCGGGGGGGGGGGGGATTCCGTTTGTCGTGAGTCGGCGCCGTCCAGATGGTGGGCGGTAGATCCACTGAGTCCCTGGTACGTGGTCGATACCATTAACTGCGGCGAATGATGCTCCGTATTAACGTATTTTCACCTCAGACATATGGTACTTTGGTACCTAAGGGTTTTCACGGGGTGACGTCTGGTCACCCCTGGCCGTCGGTATTGGCTTGGAATAGTCGGCTGAACCTGGTTTTGTTTTTTTGCACAGTTGAAGTTGATTGTGGTGTTTCCTAGCTCCCGTAATCACGGTAACCGACAAAAACGGTTTGTGACTATTCTAACGAACTGCTCACGTGCTTATACGGGTAGTCGTAATCTGTTTCTGGTGCGTTGATTTGTCACCAAATGGTGACAAAAATCTTCTCGGTCAGTGGTTGCCGGCGACGCGGTTCTATTAGCACTAAGTTGGCCACGGTGTCGACTCGAACGGAAGGTATGAGTGGCGATGCCTCTATGGGTTGTTACTTGTTGTTCACAGATTTTTAAGAGAAGTCTTATTGTGTTGTCAGTCGTATCTACCGTCGTCAATATCGCCGAATGTTATAAAAAACTTGTTGGCATATCGGTATACTGCTCGTCGGATTTTGGTTGTTCTGGAGGTCATTCTTTTATCCTGTCTTCTAGTGTTTTCTTGTTGAACACTTGGTCGCAGGAATTAAGTACGTTAAGAAGTTATGGAACAAATTCACTTTAGCAACCCAGGACATTTTTTAAATTTTTTTTCAAAATAGGCGTATTTTGACGAGGTAAGAACGATGGTGCCAAAACAATTTGCGGAAACCATTATTTTGGAAGTTATAGCTATCCAAAGTTTGCGATTTTACGTTGATACGCATGCTCGCAACACTACTATAATGCCTCGCGCAACAAAAAAAAAATAATCAAATTTCTGGTATAATCATCATTTATTTATACATCGATATCGTCATTTGTACTATCGTCGTCATTGGAACTGTCAGAGTCTTCGGAAATTACATAATCCCCATTTTCGGTGTGTGCAGTTACCGAGTACCTATATATGGCCAGCAAATTAAAAAAATTCAGACAAAGGATCAACTTTTTTGGCACGACATTGTTTCAAAAACATAAATTTTGCCATGTATCCGGCGTAAAAATGTTTTTTCCTGCTATATTGGGTGAGCGATGCTTTCGCATGCCTCCACATTCCCTCCATGTTATTTGTATGAGCATCGGTTTCGGGGTCTTTAAAATTAATAGAATGGTTGACTGTTAAATGAACATATACCCTTCATGTTTTAAACAGTCGTAGCTCGAAATTCAAATTTAAAATAGAATTATCATAGTAATATAATATAAAAATAGGTACCCATGTCCTAGGTAATTATACTGACATACCTTCCAACAATCACTGATAATAGTAGTGCCTGTTAAAATCCATTGTTTTATGATTGTCAATAATTGTTTCCTTATCTTTAAACTCCACTGGAATGAGAAAACATTTTCCGGATCCCCGTTCTACACCTCCAAATATCCACTGCCCCATGACCCGGTGACCACGGTGATACTTTCGTTTGCCAAACTTGGACTCATCAATTTCGACAATCTTATCAACTCCCCCTTAATTGTAATAATTAGGTACTCATTAAATATGAAAATAATTAACGAATTGTTATAAATTAAAACTTACCGATTTTTTCATGTCGTGCAATCATGGCATCGAATACAACCGCAACACTATTCGATATTTTTACTTGTTTCGATAAAAATTTCAAAGAAACATTTTCAATCCATAAATATGAAAATATGACAATTTGGTACAGTGACAAATGTGATTTACAAAAAAATGTATTTTTTTCCCGAAGACTGCAGAGTATATTCACATCTAACTTTTTTTTGTTTTCTCGTTGCTGCAGTGTACTCTCTGCAACGCCACAAAAATCCGTCACAAACGTCGGAAGAAGGATATAACTTTAAAAAATGGCCATTGTTACATTTTAGTGTATTCTCGTTAGCAAATAATCCTCAACTTTGCAACTTGAGAATCACATTCATAGACACCGGACCATCTGTTTTATATTTAAAAAGTTCTAAAAGTTCGACTAAGTTTAACGTCATTTTGCGTGGTTATTTACTGTATAATATATTATAATAGACTATAGTTCACTAGTCAACACGTCGTACACACAGACAGTGTTTCAAATATATTATGAATCTAATATTTGGAACTAAGTTTTTATTTCAATACCCCTCCTTTCCTCTTTAAAGCTTAATTGGGTAAACAATATTTAGGTACCATAGTGTATATTATATTATCTTGTATCAATCAGTAATTTAACTATCCATAATTAAACATTTTAATTGGTCTTAATTCTACATTTATACCAGTATCGCTATTTTATAACTATCTCAATTTTATATTATTATTATTATTATGCATTTATATGAAATTATCTTTATGATAATAGAATTACCTATATTAAGTTGTTTTTCAATTATTTACTGGTAGACAACAGGCTAATCGCTAATGAGTATATCAAATTTTTGTTGCACCGAGTCACCGAGCGGGGTCACTCGCTCGCTCGGATAATTAAAAACGAAAATATCCCTCGATTTGCTATGCAACATCTCCCAAAGTGGGCCACCAATTTGAAAAAACATCGTATAGTGATGCCATGCTAGCGGCACTCGTCGCTACGCAGCCTACGCTTCTCGGCGCCGTCGCTCCGCTCCGCAAATCGAAAATATCCCCCGACTTGCTGTTCAACACCACCTCAAGTTGGTCACAGGGTAACTAGCAGCTCGCCAACTCAAATTACTTCCCGCGGCATTAAAACAGTCTTGCGCGCATGGCGCATAAGTATATATATAAACGTAAAATCGCAAACTTTGGATGTCTATAACTTCCAAAATAATGGTTTCCGCAATTTTTTTTTTTTTGCACCATCGTTCTTAACTCGTCGAAGTACATCTTTTTTGAAAAAAAGTGAATTTATGCCGAAGTTATCTATATGTTGGAAATCGACCGATGTATAACTCGAGTGCCGTACCGACTAGTAAGCCCCAGGTATGCCTTTGTGTCATCCGTGTTTATACTGTCGGGACGAATTTGGCTGTTACTTGTTGACTGTATGGGTAGGGTCATGGGGAGGGTCTCGTTATCTTTGTCCTGACCTCCCCTAACCGCGGCTGTACTCGCAGGGTTGTTGCTTAGTCAGGTCACCTGACCCAGGTGAACTTAAGTTTGGTTCGAAGTCCCTCCCTACGTTTGTTTCTTGCAATGTCGTATTCTGATTAGTTGGTGATAATGAATTGTGAAGTTCTTAGAAGGACTGTTTTAGTGTAAGGTATAAGGTATAACCATTACATTTTAATTAATTATCCTTAAACAAATTCATCTACTGGTTCGTTACTAACATTAATTATTAACATTATTAACATTACTTATAATTATATTACTTCTTATAATTAAATTCTTATAAAAATGTATTTTATATTTCACGTAGTTGGGTTAGAACCTGTATATTATTAAAATAAAATAAAATCCAAAAAAATATACTATAATAAAGTTCTTTAATGGTTATCCTACCACTATAATGTTATAGTATATAAGATTTGTATGTTTGTCTATCAGCTTAAATATTATTAAATAATAAAATAAGTAGGTCGTTGAGCTTTACATTTTGTTTGTGTTCTTATTTGTTTCTTTTTCCTTATTTTCCTACTATTTTTGATTAGGTATATTGTGCGGCTCGTGACCCTTTTCACTGGCTCCTCCTGATGGCTGATATTCAATGACTGATGTATTATATTATGTTACAGCTAGAATGTTCAACAACGTTATTTTGTTATAAAATAACTATAAAAAATTATTGCATACTCAATGTTTAATACTATATAAACGGCTGAATGGATTTTTAAAAAAGAGTTTCGTGGTATACCTACAACCAAAAAATGTCAATAACTTTAAAAGCCTTGATAGTTTAAAACATTATATATCATACCGAAAATCTTCAATATTTGTTCACAGAGCTAATAAAATTAAATTTTACGTATAGTGAGTATAGATGTATCGATGTAGCATATGTATCATGTAGTTATGTATGTTATATATACAGTAAGACGCTTATCTATGTTTGTTATGTTAGGTACAACAAATTCCATTAAATCATGACTACGTAATCATATCATAATATAATGACACTTTGACAGAAAACATGTCAGCTCTTGACTTTTACTTTTCCAAACATTTATATTTAAACATAATATTATGTTATCATAAAACAAGTAGACATGAGATAGTTGTACCAAACGATGATTTAGCTACTCGAACATATATTACTATATAATAATACTACCTTAGTCCTTAAATCATATCCTACTATAATATGATCTAAGAATACCATACAATTTTAGAGACAACCGTTCAGAATACGACTTAAGAGTATTGTACCAAAAACACTGACTTGTCTAATCTAACCTTGTTTGTACCGAGAATCAAAGAATTGCGACTCGAAAATTTACGTAACATTGAATTTGTTTTTTTTCTCATTCTATTAATCAGGCACCGATGATAAGCATGGTGAGTAGTGGGTACGGTATTTTTATCAATAAAAACAAATCATCACATTTTAATTTACACTGTAATTCATTCATTATTAACTCAATTACAATACTATTAGAATTTTCTGTCATTTTAAACTCCACCAGATTCTGATGCTGCAGATTTTTCTGTTATTTTTTTGTTTCTTTTCTTCAAGTTCTTGAATTTTCCCCATAAAAATCGTATAGGCCAAAACACCGATTTTATACGCTTAAAAACTTTATGGCGTATGCCCTTTGGTTTTTCTGATTCCACTGCTGTATATTCATTCGGGTTCATTCCTACTTCCTATTGATAACAAAAATACTTTAAAGTCTGTACCTAAACCCGTGGCAAAAAAAGGTAACTATATGTACAATTAACCAAATAACTTAATACATTTGAAAAGTTAGTAACTTGTAAGTCCGATTAATTTGAACGAATGATTTCAAATGTTGTTAAAAACAATATATCGTAAAAAACGTAACATATTTAAGCAGGTACAATTGGAGAAAATACTTCTCAAAACTAGTAGATATCTCAGTATCCGATAAACAGTGTAATTAATGAGGAATAGGTAAACATTTAGTGACTAAATGTGTTTGGGTAAAAATTAAATTACAAACATCGTTCAAACTGTAGGGACTTCATAGTTCATAATCTGAAATTTAAATTTAAATTCTATCATTTCTTGATTTATACATTGTGTTTATCGCTAGTCGCTACATTGCGATATTATAAAATAATAAGATATATTTATTCATTAAACATTTTTGTAACAATAAATTATTGTAAATAAACTGTGAAATTTTATTTTTGTATAAATTTATTTATTAAAATAAAGTAAGGAAACCTCACTCTGTGAGCATACTAAATTCCCGGTTTATAAATGTGTTTTAATACATTTCAATGAATTATAAATCCATACACAATTTGAGTAATGTTACTATGGACAGTAAATAAATAAAAATCGACAGTCGTAATACTATGAAGGTACTCAGTGTTGGTAACTAACAGGTGGGCGGACGGACGGACACAATGATGATATAATTTGCGCCATTTGGGTGGGGGGGGGGGAGCTTGGGGGAGCTTAGAGCCCCCGATATTTTTCACATTTATTTTCATTTTAATAGTCATTATATAGGCATTCACAACCATAAGGTGATATGAAAAAAAATAAAGGGGTCTTCAGCACTCCCACTTTTTTCATTGAAATTGCGGCCCTGGATATAACATATTATGTTTTAGAAACCTAAAACTACATTTGAACACTATTTGATATTTTGAATGATTTCGTAATCGCAATACAACCAGCTGCCTGCGTCGTATTATTGGAAACATATATCTATTTAATATTGTATAAATATATCTAATATGTATAATAGGTATCGGATGAACAGTTCAATTAATGAAGATACAATAAATTTAGAGACTAAGAACGTTTGGGTAAAACTTAAACGATATTCATTCAAATGGTGAACTATTAATTTTTTACAAAATCATTTGCAGCTTATTAAATTATAATATTACCGTTGGATCAGTGCCTTTAGTTTCTGATTTACTTGGTTCAAGTTTTGTTGTAGTTGAAGGATCATATTTTGTACTTACTTCACCTTTTTTAACTGTATTTCCAGAACTAAACTAAACATTTTCATTAAAAATAAATAAAAATCATTAATAATATTGTTACTAGTGTAAGCTTCAATGTAGTAAATAGCTGACTAATATGATAGTTTAGTATATTATAATGCGAATGAAAAGTATTTCAAATTACGTATTTGAAGAGTTACTTAAAAAAAAATTAACTCTTAACGTTATGGCGGTTAAATGGTTATCCATTCTAATATGATGTTACTAAAAGTTATTATGGTATTCATAACATTTTCATAACATACATATACAAGACACAAAAAGGCTATACGTAAGTAAAAATATTTAAGTCCAAAAACCGTGTTATTACTGCCATAGAAGAAACTCACTTGGAACAAATAAATGATGACAATCGTCGATATCAAAATTCGTTTGGAAATCATTTTGCCTTTGAGCTTTTCAAATTAAACTGTTTAAAGCCGTATTTCAAAGATGAAAAATACATGAATAAAATCACCGACTGATACAGTTCACTGTGGGTAATATAGTTTTATGTTTTTTTTGTGGTTTTTTTATCAGTGCATACGATAATTATACCCATATTACGATTAACACATACGCGCAAGTGTCACGCAGTAGCACACATTTCCCGAGAGCAATAGACAATAGTCGACTTGTCATAACTATTATGTGGTTGCGGAAACAAAATTGAAAACTTATTTTGTAAATGTTTTTTTCAGCTAACCTCCTAAAATAGTTTATTGTCAGAAAACGATTGATAGGTACCCTATATAGTTACAGTGGCTGGCTATAAAGTAGTAAACAGCTTATCTATATCTAGGAATATTAACATTTAAGAATCGAAATTAATAGAGATTGGCTCTTTCTGCGTGCGATACATATTAATTGAAACACTTTACCACTAACACTAACCTAACATCATCTGCGTGCCTGTATATATGTCAGCATTGAAATCCGAAACCTTGATCATATTATATTATAATTACTATATTTTATTACAAACTGACTTTTGTAATGAAAGGTCAAGATCGGTTATTTTTAATAGAATAGCATCGTTAAACTATTAACTATGTGTGTTTAAAGGGTATCATTGGATTTATTAATAAATGAATTAAAATCGTAAAAAAAATAAGTGAACTATGAGGCGAGAATCACTCAACTCCAACATTTAAAAAAACACCAGATACTTTTGCCACCTGTGAGTTGTGTAATGGAAACCCTCGTCTACAATGAGCTTCAAAATTGAAACCGTCAGCCATCCAGTTCGACAAACCTCAACCTGGAAAACCAGTAGCCTCCTAACCAATCAGCTCACTGTCTAGTGTTTACCAATTCACAATCAAACTAACGTTACAGATCCTACGCCAATGTACCAAGTGACGATAAAGCCACTCAAAAAAATCGTTAAAATATTGGCAAATCACCTATAGTCTACCTGCTATAACTCATACATTTGAAGTTAAAGTGGAGCAATTACCGTGAAACTTTTTGAAAACTGTGGCCCAATTCTCGGTCACCAAAATTTGTTTAACAGAAATACTAAGACTCGGATAGGTTATCTTCAATAATTAGTTGGAATATCCGAATATGTACTAATTAATCCTGCTAGTACTTACCTACTCGCAGTAGGTTGATTGCGTCCTCGCAAAAGACCCCAGTCATCTAGTATTCTAGTGGTTAAATTTGTCAATAACAACAATATAAATGTACATGTGTATCATTTTACAAAATACACAACAAATGTCACTTTCCGTATTAGGGTATGACTAGTAATTGTGGGCTGAGTATTTCTTAAACCAACATAAATTAAGAGATTTAAAAAAAAAAATTGGTACAGTGATAAATATTATATTAGTGTGAATTGTCAGAGAATAAAATTCATAAAAATGACGGATTATGAATGATGATACATAAATTACATACACGAAAAAAAGAAAAGATTCAAAACAAAAAAAAGGTGGGAAAGTGGATCCTCTCTGCTGTACATTTATGTGTCGGGTGGGTCAGTACATAATGAGTTTAATTTGATTAAAATTCTTTAAAGTCATTGTATATGAAAGACAATTTGAGTGAAAACGATGTGTCAGCTCATATTAATATTACTTTATTTTATGATATTATTGTAATTAAAGTTGTTTATTTTACAATTAAACATTATAGTTAAAAGTAGGTATTGAATTAATTTTTACCGAACAAATGTGTTAGAAAATGTCATTGTGTAAATAAAATAAAATAATAAACATCATCTTCTTAAATTACAAAATATTAATTATATTCTTTATTCTTGTTTAAATATCTACTATCGTCCAAATTTGAACTTTAAATAAGTATAACAAAAACCTGCGTTTATAATTTTATATATTGTTAATATTTTTTATTTACAGTATGAATTATTTATGTGAAAATGTAAAGGTGGATTCACATCACCTCGTCGTGTCGTATAGTGTCCGCATATTTAATACACAGGTAACAAAATTCTTGTCATATCATTACATTAATTTTTCTAGCTTTATAAAAATAAAAAATAAAATTAAAATTAAAATAAATTAATTATAAAAGATCCTCAAATTGTTGTAAAACAACTTTACCGTCAGCGCAGCAAAATCCATTGATTTCATCTTTCCATTTTTTTGCATGGCACTTAGGACATAATATCGTCATTGGTCCTATTTGAAGCACTTTAACATTTAAATAATCAATCTCGGTTTGATAATTAAACGCTGATTTCATACTCGAAGCGTTACGTTGCTCCTGTACAAGTGTTTGAGAACATTCTGATGTGTTATACATTCTGGCGCTCTTGGCATGAATGCATGATGATAAATTAGCCATTTCCCCGAAATTTAACTCATAAAAATAATAAAAAAGTAAGCACAAATTATGCTCGTAAATGGTGTACACGTAATTCACGAAAAATAATAACTCAAATCAACAAACATGCCCGATTAACCAATAGCAACTATTATTATATTAATCTGCAATAACAACTTTTTATTATTTAGTTTATTTTTTCCTATACAGATAGCGCCACTGTTGTATTTTTGACATCCATATTTCCTACTTTTTGGTGGATTTTTCTAAACAAAAGTGGTCCTATGACCTCCAGCAGACTGTCAAGTATAACAGAAAAAAATTTCAGCCAAATCGGTTCGGTAGTTTTCTCGGTTAGCGCGGTCTAAGAAAACTCTTATCATTTTATATAATAAGTATAGATAGATAAATAGATATAGATATAGATATAGATAGATAGTATTCGTTTACAATGTCAAATGATAAGTGAGTGTATAGGGAAACTTGTGTTTTGTTTAAGCAGGTACATTTTTTTAAATATCAGTATTGTTACGATTTTTTAAAAAGAAATAAAAACTGATTTTTTATTAACTCTACCAGGCACAGGCGTGGATCTAGAACGTATTTACGGGGGGGGGGGGGCATCTTAAATAAAATTTCAGCCTATAAATCTGATAAAAATGCAAGTAATGCAAGTCCATTAAAGCGTGAGTCTACGGGGGGGGCATGGCCCCTTGCCCCCCCCCCCACCTTTGGATCCGTGCCTGACCAGGCATGACTAAAAAAATTTACCGGCCTGAAATATTGTGGCAGTCCACCCCTGCCTATAGGTGGTAATGTCATACCGAAAATTACTCAATTTTTCGCAGATATAATACAACGAATGGCTGAACGGCTCAACGGCCTGAACGTACAGTGAGGTATGTATTGTTTATTTCCTGTAGAACGCGTACCTACGTACATATTATAAATCACATAAATTCCAGTAAACCATGATTATACATACTCGTAATTTATCGACAGAAAATCCATCCAACGATCTACTTCTATGGAAGTTCATGATTAATTTTAGTCATCGTATCATTAATCACTATCCAATATGGATCACCACTAAAATCGATCAGAAAGTGAGACCTACGACATTAAGCATGTTGTTTTATGATTTTAACGCTAGAATATTTAAATGTAAAAAGGGCAGGTCTACAATCAGAAACTAAAAAATAATTAGGTATAAATTATATAAATATAAATTTGCTATCGTTTTTATATGTAGTTCTGTATTGTGGGACATAAACATAATATTGTATAGGACATTATTGTGATAAACGGTAACTCTAAATCTACAAAATATTGAATTTATTGTGGTTTTTTCCATATTTTATTAATCTTGCACTCTTGGTGGGTTATCAATATAAACGATCAGGTGAATGAAAAACGTTCTATTAATTAATTAACACCATAATTAATTCTGCATTGACACAACTACAATATGATAAGAAGTAATTGTTATTTTCTATCTAGATACCCGTAATTCACTCTAATATTTGTTGATGCAGGTGTTCCAGATGTTGTAGTTATTATTGCTATTTTGTTTCTATTTTGTACTTTATTCTTTAAGTTCTTAAATTTTCCATATACGAATCGTATTGGCCAAAACACCGATTTTATACGCTTAAGGATTTTCTGATGTAGGCCAGGTGGTTTTACTGGTTCCACTGCAGTATCTTCATCCAGGTTCATTCCTGCTCCCTGTTGAAGACAAAACAACTTTAAAATATGTAAACCAAGGAAATCACACTGTTATATTAATATATATATATATACGGGCGGCATTTTTCTCCGGACAAGTCGCGGTGACCGGAGAACAAGTGCTGCCATCCCCCACCCCCGGGGCATGGCAGAAACCTACGGGTGCCCCATTCGAAATTCTGCCAAAAACAAACACACACGTGTTCCCCCCTACCGTACCAAAAAAATCTACAAACAATCAATACAAACCTACAAATCTACAATACCTACTAAAAAAAAAAAGCTAATGGCCACAGTTGCTGGGCTCAGGAACAATAAAAAAAATATATATATATATATATATATATAAATATATGTATAATATATGTTATATGATTTTGATTCTTTGAGTGATCTCATTATAATGGATGTGTTGAATTTATTTAAATTAAATGTAATCAAAAAACGATTTTGAGAAGAGGACTCCATTCGAAGGATTTGTCATTGATTTATATAACTAAAGTGTAATATATTATATTCCTACCTTATACATTAATAAATACACAATGTGTCTCAACACCAATTATGACCATAATATGATAATACGATGGACCATAATATTATATTATAAGGGTGTAATAAATATAAACGTTATATAATAAATATAAAATAATTTATCTCCCATAATCAAATTCACAATAGTACGTTGAACGGTTAAATTCGCTCCCGTGCTTTTTTCTTATTAGTCCGGTAAATATAGACAGTTTTTTTTGTTCTTTGTCTTGTTAGATTCTAAAAAGTGCGCTTTCACACTGGTGTCGTTTTTGAGTCGGTCTGACCAATACCCTACCATCAGGGGGGGGGGGGGAATATTAGTGGTTCCAGCTTATACACGGCCGCCGTAGAAACGTGAATTCAATCTTATTTTTATCGGTACAAGGTTCCAAAACCCGCGACAGTCGTTATCGCGTTATCGGAGAGATTATACCCGCACTGACCCACGCGTTATACACTGCGTGCGTTTTATAGTTGAAACAGAGTTGATAAATATAAATATAAATACATATAAACATCGTGATGTAGTGATCGTTAGCTGTTCTGCTCATCAACCCGCATATCTCACCGGCCCGTCTGGTTTACCTGCAGCTTTGGTTGCCTATCTTATCTTACGAGGCGTATTTATTTAAATGGGTCAGAACTCGCCCTCAAGGGTCTCCGCCCGATCAACCACTGCTGGCAATATTACTTCTGTAATGTCTGGCAAGTCTTCTAAATCAACCTCTTCTTCTTCCGGTCTGCTGACCCTTGATATTTTTAACAACACTATGGCTGAACATCAAAAAACACAAAAAGAAACCCTGGCCTAGTGTAAACGCTTGTGCGAATCTCAAAATGCTCAATTTTCTGAACTCAATGAAAGCTTAGGTCGTCTGTCCACTCAGGTTGTTGAATTAAAATCTGAGGACGACAAACTCCAAGAACTCATCTCTAGTCTCAGTAAAAGAGTCCAAGACCTTGAATCTGCAAACAGTAGTTGTCGTACCTCTTGGGCTGACACTATTCCTAGCATTCTCCAAGAGATCACTGAACGTGAGCATTGTTCTCCTAACTTCATTATTCGTGGTGCTCAAGAATCTTTTTCTTCTGTGTTAGAAGGTAGAGTCTCTAATGACGTTCTAAAAATAACTGAGGCTATCAAAGCGTACTTTCCCGAATTACCATCTAACTTCAAAGCAATAAGGCTAGGTAAACCCAGTGGTCGAGGTCCCCGAACACTTAAGGTTTCCTTCCAGTCTAAAGAAACAGCCCAGAAACTTGTCTCTGAATATAATACAAATATTAGATCTACTCATACTGACAATATGTGCCATCCCATCTCGGTAACTCGTGATCGCACCTCGAGTGAACGTGAAGTAATTCGTCTTGTTTACGCTGATTCGGAAAATCGCAAAAAGAACGGTGAATCTGACTTGGTGATCAAATACAGAGATGGATTCCCCTATATTATACCAGCCCGCAGATCATCCCAGGACAGACTCCATCAAGCATCGAACTCTGCCCCCACCCAATCAAAAAACTAGCAGTACTCGACTTGTCGCTGCCTAGGCAAGCACTCCTTGGCCTGAACAAAACTGGGAAAAATGACTCATACTACTACTCCTGTTTATCTGATCCACTCTGCAATTGTATGTAAACTTCGTTCTTCAAACTGCTCACGCTTCTACACTGCTGAACTAACTTTAGATTCTTTCTTGCAAGTCTTCACTAACTTAATAGCCTCATTTTGTAAACCTATTAATTTTTCTAATATTTGTAAAAATAACTTTTGTGATAATACCCTTAATTGCAACCTTAAAATATTCTATCAAAATGTTCGTGGTCTTACAACAAAATTAGTTAGCCTCAGATGTTCTTTCCCTATGTTTCACTTTTATGATATCATTATCCTCACAGAAACCTGGCTGACTCCTGACATAAGTGACAGTGAACTTGGTTTCGCTGGCTTTCAAGTAATAAGACTTGATAGAATCCATAATAACAGCACTTCTATCTGAGGTGGCATACTTCTAATATGTATTGCTATCAAGAATACCCGTTCCTTTCAACCTAATTCACTAACCGTATCTAACGTTGAACAAGTATTTGTATCATTGTCCCTAAACTCTTGCCACTTATTAGTAGGAGGTGTATACTTACCCCCTCCCTCCCCCCTTTCTGTAGTTGAATCGCATACTACTTCTGTTGAACACGTCATATCCTCTTATAAACTAAATTCCCTAGTCATGGTGACTACAAACTCCCAAATAATATCTGGTCTTCTGATGAATTAGGATTAATCGGGACTAATGATTCCAGCATAATTTCCACAACTATTATTGATTATTTTTCTTACCTCAATTTTTTCCAGCATAATCTCTTTCGCAATAATCATGGCAGTATCTTAGATCTTATCTTTTCCAACTTCAATAGAGTTACAGTCAATTTAGCAACGGAATATTTGGTTATTCCTGATCCTTATCACCTGCTCTTCACGTGGTCTTTCCTTCATAATCTGACAAACCAGTAGTTAATACTCATACATATAAAGATTTTAAGGCTGCAAACTACATTGCCATAACGCAATTAATTGGGAGTTAACATTTTCACAGTACACAATCGAAGATGCCGCCTCTGTTTTTAATGAATCCCTGCTTCATGATATCGATTTGTTTGCTCCCACTAAAATATTTTTTTTGTTTTTTAAATGTCGTTTATTTATGAAAATTTACAATTTATACAAAAATGGTACAATAAGTAAATGTGAATAATGATTAAAAGTGGCGACGAGGGGAGTACAATGAGTAGAAGTTTCACATTAGAAATTCCTACGTGGAGACTAAAATATTTAAATTGTCAAAATTCCCTAAGTGGACATCTCCCTCTCTTAAAAATCGTATTATGGAGAAAAAGCGAGCTAACACACTCTATAAGTGTTCGAGATCCCCCTATGACTACTCAGCTTTTTCCGAACTTCGTGCTAAATGCAAGCGCCAATCTAAAATAGACTGCCAGTCTTATATAAGAAATACCGAAAACTTGTTCAATCGCAATCCCTCACTATTTTGGAAATCTATTGAAAATTTAAAGCAGAAAAACACGGTACCCTCCACTCTATTCTGGAACAGTGATAAGGTTGATACTCCTCTTGGTTCGGCTAACCTATTCCCTAAGTATTTTTATTCTATGTATAACAACTCTATTTCTCCACCCGTCAATATTTCTAATATTAATGCTATTCCTATAAACTTCCTTCTAATTGCCACTTCACCATAGACAATGTACAACTTGCACTCAACTCTTTGAAAAACACCAATTCTAATGGCCCAGACGGGATTTCAGCACGTTTACTTTTTAATTGTCAAGATTCTATTGTTTGTCCTTTATTCCTACTCTTTAGGCTATCTCTCGATGAGGGTATCTTTCCAGCTTGCAGCTGCTTGAAAAACATGTTCTGTCACCTCTGTTTTTAAATCTGGAGATCATTCGCTCGTTTCTAATTACAGGCCTATTTCCATCCTACCACACGTTTCTAAACTGTTTGAGTCTATCGTCTACTCCTCAATCAAAAGAAGTCTTAACCATATTTTAATGGATGAGCAGCATGGTTTCCGTAGTGGGAAATCTACTGTCACTTGCAGCCAATCTTTCATATCATATATATTAAAAAGCTTTGAATCTGATTGTCAAGTTGATGCTGTGTTCACGGACTTTAATAAAGCTTTCGATACTATCATTCATAGCCACCTTATCTCTGAATTGGATTCGCTTGGTATCGGTAAACCTCTACTCTCATGGCTCCAATCTTATTTAAGTCAAAGAAAGCAATTCGTAAGAGTCCACGGCGTTGACTCTGACTTATTTATAACTCCCTCTAGGGTCTCCCAAGGAGGACATCTCAGTCCTCCTCTGTTCAACCTTTTCGTTAACTCAAGTACGGGTACATTTCATCCTCTAGAGTTCTTCTATTTGCCGATGATATTACATTTTTTTCAAAAATTACATCTCCGTCTGACTGTCTTCAACTTCAAACAGATCTCAATACTTTCTCTCTCTGGGCCCAGCGTATTGGCCTAACGCTCAGCCTCAACAAATATCATGTTATGTCATTTCATAGAAAATGAACTTGCATAATCCATCCTTATTCCCTTAATGGCTCCACTCTCAAACGTGTTTCCGCTGTAAAAGACCTTGGGTTCTATCTAACTCCTTTTCTGTCTTTTGAACAACATATTGATATTACTGATGGTAGAGCGTTAAAAATTCTGGGGTTCTTAAAGCGCAACACTAGCCTTTTCACGTCCGCTACCTGTCTTCGCTCCCTCTATTTTTCCCTTGTCCGCTCTGCCTTAGAATATGGCTCAGTTGTATGGTACCCATATCTAGCCAAGGACCAATTACGTTTAGAGCGTGTCCAAAACTGCTTCCTTTCCTACGCCGCTCTTATACTCAATATTGATCACCCATCCCATGATTACCTATCAGTTAGAACTTAGAAGTTCCTTAAATATCCCTACTCTTGCATCTCATCGTGTAGATGCTGACCTCTCATTCATCACCTCCCTCCTTAACGGCTCAATAGATGCCCCGAACCTTCTGTCCTCTATCTCCTTCCGCGTTCCTGTGCATTTCACTAGAAGTCAATCGTTATTCCTTGTCTCCTCTCACCGTACTAATTACTCTAATAATAATCGATTAGATAGAATGCTCCGCTTACTTAATAGCTCCTGATCTGTAGTTGACTATGTCCTTATTTATCTCTACTGAATGTTTTGGTCTTTAGTTTTATTTTACCTTAGCATATACTCTTTTTAACTGAACGGTTAAAAGTTAAGTCTATAATTATAACTATGTTTTCCATGTATATTATTTCATTAATATCACTTCTTGTTAATCTACTAATTATTACAATGTATCTATAAATTGCCGTTTGGCGTTAAATAAATAAATAAATAAATAATCATAAATAACATTAAGGCATTAAACTATCGAAACCCATATCCGTCAAAGCACGAACCACCAAAAAAAGATAACCCCAAATATAATTAAAAATAATATCATTGACAACAGAGCAATAAAAACTACGAAAATCTAAAATAATATTATTTTTTTAATCATAAATAACACAGCACTATATCAAGACTGAAAATACTGGACGCCCATAATTGGACATGAGAAACTATCCGATAATGAAGAAATGGAACAATACAACCAGACCAATTTGAAAATCTAAAAATCGCAAATAACATCAAAAGAAATCATTTAATAAAATCACCACTGCTTTATCAGTTTCTTCACAACAACAAGGCAATTAAAACTATTGCGCACTCAACGAAAATGACGGAATTAGTTACAATATGATGAAATAGTCAATAACAAAGCATTAAAGCAATTAAATATGTCGGATGTAAATATTTCAAACCAGATTTATTAAAAAGCCCAAATTACTTCAAACGATACGTAAGTCTCAATGCAAGAATACGGTACATGCTCGAGTTTCAAAAACAACCTGCCGTGCGTACAATGCTGCGCTGCAGACACTTGAGAAAGGGGCATTACCTGATACCTATACAACGGGTACACACGACCAGTAGCCCCCCCCAGCCTTTTTCATACATACGTCCAGTAGTGCTACCAGTCTTTTTCGCATGCACGACGCTTACGTCGCATAGCATCATGCCGATACACTCTTATCAAATAATAAGACAATTCAAATTCATTATTTTTTTAACTATTAAGTATGAAGATGAAGTCAAAGAGACGGGAGAGATGATTCAAATGTGTTTTATTTTGCCTTTTATTACACAATGATAAATGTAAAATACTTTGGTGGGTCAAGAAGGTGAAAAATATAAATTACAGGGCCAGCCCAAACAAGAGTTCGGGGAACGCTGAACTAGAGTATGCAATTACATCGCGCATCGAACCACGATCAACCATACAAGCTGCTAAGAACATCGTCTTGCTATACTGACAAGGTACGTGATGTCATTTATGTAACTACTCCGGTCAAGACGTATTTATAAATATCCTGCAAGGTTACGACATTATTTAGTAGTAGAGTAAGAATTGCATAAACCCATACACATCGTGAAATCTACCCCCTTCTTATTTACCACCTGTTCCCCCTGTGTCTTACTACTTACCTTATTTTTATTCTACTACAAAAGGTATATTTTTCTACTACCTTGTATGATACTATATTGAACTATTTTTACCTCCAATATCGAATATTTTATATATACATGATATTATTATTTTATCAACTTACGTCTTAAAACTTAAATTTCAATACCTACTTAATGTAGAGTGGTATGAGTAGAATCAAGCCAGTCAAGGTATAAACAGCTTAAAAATAGTCTGAATATTTGCATCACTTCATTGACCATAAAAAAATAATAAACATGATAACTGATAAATGTCCACGGTTTCAAGTACCTACAGTTAATATGCTTTTATCACAACAAAATACTTAGCTAAAATCATTAGATGAAATGTCTTATAATGTATAATACATCTATATTAAATGATCAAGTATAAAGTATAAAAATTGATAGTTGCATGAATAAGCTACTATATTTATAACCTCACAAAATAATAAACAAATGGTCATGATTTTCAACATTTTAACTTCAAATACTAAAGTAAAAACAGAGAATAAGTATTTTTGTTATTTGTTTACAGCCACGGAGGAATAAGTTATGGGTAACCTTGTTTTAGTAACCTACGTTTCCATATAAGTTTTAACTTAAGGATGTCGCTGATGGTTTTTCTCATTTTCCACAATTCTAGAAAATGTTTTAACTATATTTTATATTTTAGTTACTACCTTAATTATAATACTTTTCTAGTAATCTACTGTAGGATACCTATTTTAGGAGGCCGGAGGGAGTGAGGGACTATACAAGTCAAAAAAATAACTTCACAGGAAAATCTCTCACACTTCATAACTGCATTTTAAGTGAATGTGTGCGTGTGTGATAGTTTAATGCACCGTAACACTCATAACTACTATAACTAATAATAGATAATATAATAATATAGTACTGAAAATATTCAAATAATGCCGAGTAAAATAATATTAAAATGCAATCATTGCTTTGCTATTCACAAATCGTTTAGCTTATAAAATAGATATTATGTTACATTTTATAAACTAGTACTGTATTAATTGCAATACGACTTATTAAGTCAATTAAGCAATCGACCAAATAACGTGTTTGGGTAAAAATTAAATTACTAACATCATTCAAACTGTAGGTACTTCATAATATGAAATTTAAGTTTAAATTCAATCATTCCTCGATTTATACATTGTGTTTATCACTACATTGCAATATTATAAAAATATATTTATTCATTAAATATTTTTGTAACAATAAATTATTATAAATAAACTGTGAAATTTTATTTTTGTATAAATTTATTTATTAAAATTAAGTAAGGAAACCTCACTCTGTGAGCATACTAAATTCCCGGTTTATAAACGTGTTTTAATACAATTTGAGTAATGTTACTATTATGGACAGTAAATAAATAAAAATCGACAGTCGTAATTATGGAGGATATAAAATATGTTTAGAAACCTAAAACTACATTTGAACACAATTTGATATTTTAAATGATTTCGTAATCGCAATACAACCAGCTGCCTACGTCAAATTATTGGAAACATACGTATATCTATATAATATTTTATAAATATACCTAAGATTTATAATATTTATCGGGTGAACAGTACAATTAATGAAGATACAATGAATTTAGAGACTAAGAACGTTTGGGTAAAACTTAAACGATATTTATTCAAATGGTGAACTATTAATTTTTTACAAAATCATTTGCAGCTTATTAAATAATAATATTACCGTTGGATCAGCGCCTGTAGTTTCTGATTTACTTGGTTCAGGCTTAGATATAGCTGGATATTTTGGACTTTTTTCAGCTTTAGTTGCAACTGCTTGTTCAGATCCATTTCCCATCAAACAAGTTAAAAACTAAACATTTTCATTAAAAATAAATCAAAATCATTAATAATTTTGCATGTTACTTGTTTTTTTTTTTGGATTAAGGCTTCAACTACTAAGGTCATTAGCCTGGTACTGTGTGGGGGAGGGGGGCGGTTGGTTGGAACGCGTTTGTATGTGTAGCAAGGATGTGTTGATAAAAGCCCGGATGGTCACCCATTCGAGTGCTAGCAACAACGGCCTGTACGTACGCTCAGAGCGTTGCAGCAGATTGAGCGTATACGACCGCGCCTCACCAAGCCACATATATTGTCATTAGCGTAAGCTGTAGTGTAGTAACTTGCTGACTAATATGATAGTTTCGTATATTACAATGCTAATGAAAAGTATTTCAAATTACCTACCTAACGAGTTACCTTTAAAAAAAATTAACTTCTAGCTTAATGAGTTAAATGGTTATCCACTCTATTATAAAGTTAGTAAAAGTTAGTTCATTTTATAGAAACGTTATACATTTTATTACTATTGTATTCAAATAATTTTTGTTTTGTACACATAATTGTTTTTGTTGGAAAAAAATAATGACCCATGTATTTATAATTACATTTAGAAATCTGTATTATTTTAGAATAATTTATAATGTAATATTTGGTATTTTTAACTGTAAAATACGATTGAGAAAGCTCGATTTTTTTTTCCAACATTGCCAAATGTAATCGATCGATAATATGAGTATAATAATCTGTTGATATTTATTGAAGTTCTATATTAATATTACATTTATTTCATTTTTTATACATTAGGTTAAAATAATATAATTCAAATATTTCAATAGCCAAATAATTGATATGGAAAATGGAAACGTTGCAAGGAAATTCGTTCTCAATCGTATTCTATTTTGGTTTTTTTTGGTCAATGGTAAGTTCTTTGTTAGTTCTAAGTGTTCTCAAACGTTCTTCCAAAAAGGTATAGCGTTCTCAAATTCTCAATCGTTCAATAGCCTATTGTAAATTTTAAATTTTTACAGATAACTCGTTTCGATGTTGGTGCTTTATTATTTCAAAAAATTAACGTTCCTTACTAAAAATTAACCTGAATAATTTAAGTTAGTAGGACTTAATGATAGGTTAGCTCTTAGGTTATCCATCTGTTATTTTTTCTGACAATATCTCTTATTTCTATTATTTTTCCCGATTGGTTCTTTTTGTTTTTGAATAGAAAATATACTTGTATTTATTGCGCTCTATCATAATACGAGTAGGTATATACCGTAAATATGTAGTCGATAAAAAATGTATTTATTTTTAAACATGTCAAGTTATTTTTTTTCTAATAAACTTATAACGTTTACTTGTTACGTTGGCTGTTAAACCTAACTTACCTTTGTCTGTATTAATTCAAATTTACAAACTAAGCAAATTTTAAGTTACCCTAATTTGGAAGTTTTTGCCTACTTATTGTGTAATGTGGAACAGAAAAAGGTATTTTAAAAAAAATTGTGATTTTTTATTTGTATACTTTATAATATAATATTATGACCGGATCTGTGAAATTTTCTTAGATAAACATATTTTTACAAGACAAAATAAGACGACCTTGGAAATCGGTGTAATTGCATCTATATGTGAGACTCACTTAGACCAAAAAAACGATGACAGTGATCGATATAAAAATTCACCTGAAAATCATTTTGTCGTTGAGCTTTTCAAAATAAACTGTTCGAAAGCCGTTTTCATAGGATGAAAATCAAATCACCAACTAACATACTTTACAGTAGGTATACGGTTTTATATATTTTTTTTTGAGGATTTTTTATCATTGCATGTGATAATTATGATAATTATAATAAAATAAAATATAATATCATATAATAATGGTTAATATAGGTAGGTACCCATATTGTGATTAACATACCGACGCAAGTGTCGCAGTAACACACATTTCCCTTGGATAATAATATGCTTGTTTTTATAATTAGTCGGTTACGGAAACAAAATTGAAAGTATTACTCTGTAATACTTTTTTCCCTTTAACCTTCTAAAATAGTATATTGCCAGCGTCCAGTATACGATTGGTTAGGTTAGCTGAAAGAGTGGATACTTATAAAGTAGAAAACATCATATCTGAAAATTAACATTTAGGAATTGCCAATTGGAATGAATAATACCTAGCTATTGGTTCTTTCTTTGTACTATACAGATTTGAAACACTTATTAGAAACATCAACTCACAGCTACATTTGTCAGCATTCAAAATTCAAGACCTTGACCATCTTTTTAGAATATGTCAATATGGTACACACATATTTATTCCAAACTGATTGGTTTTAGCCATGTTGAATTAATTAACAAATGGATTTAAGTTGTAAAAAATAACGAATAGACATTTCCTAATTGATGCACTTACGTCAATGACGTATTTAAATGATGACACATCACTACTGTCGTGGCATTGTGTTTTTCCTAAACGGTTATTTTGCACAATATGTATTAAATAGGTACATATAAAAAAGTATAAACAAATTATTTTTAAAATATTTTTTGTTATCAATTATTTTAATATTGTATAAAAATATAATTATACTTAATGATTACATGATTTTATACTATAGAATTCACTAAACACAACGAGACCTACTGTACCAGGAAAAAGGTGACCACTCACCTATTTCTTTCAGTAACTTACTAATACATATTTTGTTTTAAATAATGAGGTAGGAATAGGTTTTACAAATTCAATTCTAGTTTTTGTCGTTTTTTTGTATTTTTTAATTTCATTAAGAATATTATAATACTTTTCAATGAAAGTTCTTTTTTTGGATTTTAATGTTCCAATGCTTCCAAGTTTAATCTAAACTTCTGCTTGGAAATCTTCTGCTTAAAGAATTCGACAATAAAAATCGTTTAAATAGTAGTCAAATCACTGGGTCTACATGTAATAAATGTAAAATTTTAGAAGCGTTGGTCCATTTTGAAAATAGGTTCATAGTTGCCCAATTCCGGGGCACTCAAATTTGTTTGCCAGAAATAGCTAAACTCAGGATGGTATACATTTATACTTGTCTGAAATTAGTAAGTAATAAGAGTGTACTAATTGATCTTAATTAGAGTAAGAAAATGTAATCACCAAAAAACGATCTCAGTTATCAGTAGGTAAATATCGGCAAGGGTATTTTTGAAATGTACACAAATTGCGCCTTGCAAGCCTGCATGTGCAAGGTGACATTCAAATAAAAAGAGACAGTGATACATAAATAGGTACATAATTTATATAAGTATAAAGTCAGGCAATAAGAAGTGGAAAAATTATGGAAAAATATAGTTAATTATATAATTATTTTATACACAAGAAAAAATGAAAGGATTCTCCAAAAAAAAAATGATTTACTCTTAAACTATTAACTTACTGTACATCAACTATCATACATTCTTACACATTTTTACTAGTTACATATTAACTAAATTTTAATAATTGGTACATTTTTTACATAAACTCATAAACAACATAAACAGCAAAAGCAATATTTTTATCCGTACCAATATTTAACATGTCAAATTACATAATATCCTGTGCTTGATCTGGAAAATAAAATAAAAATATTGTATTTTAAAATTATTCTTAGACCTGATTTAAGTAGTATGAATAAAAAATATTTTGGCCGCAATATACGTGTATACAAAATATACAAAATATACTCGAACAGTAATTTACGTAGGTCTAAATTATGTATAAAGTATACCCTGGCTACAATTTACATAAGAATTAAAAATTGGACCCAATTAACAGCGACTCTGCAATATTTCACTACCTAACAATCTATTTATGACGGTTTGCTCTATTTATCCGGTGTACGAATATAAACAGGTATACAACTGTGTCGTAGTTTCCACCTGTGGAGTTTGGGCGATAATAAGAATGTCTAGTACCTACATTTCAGAGGCAGCAGTAAGCAAAAACAAACTTCTATTAAAAGTTTGTATTTTTTTCATATTCCTACCTGCCATAATAATTAGGTTATTGTATGCATTATACTATATAGCTGTTATTTACCTTTTTTTGCGACACTTGTGTTTTTGATGTGTGAATATTATGTTAATTACCTTGTTTACGATTACGAATAGGTCTAACACAAACTAATAATATAAAACAGTAGAACCTGTGGTGATCACCCACACACGACAGTGGACAGTTTTAGTTTTCTATGAATAAAAAAAAACAGTTTTCGAACCTGCTATTTTATTAAATTCATAATCAAACAGCCTCGAAATGCTTTCTAAACGCATAGTTATATCAATTATAGTGATTGGTTGTTTGGTTCAAGTAAGTTTTGTCCAGTCATATAACAATTTTAACACTTTTAGATAATGTATCTCTATTCGATGCTTCATACAAATATAAAATACTAATATAGATAGTATACATACATTATATAAGCGTAAGGGTGATATTAAACGTTATCCAAAATATTTTAATTTTCAAAATGATGAAAAGATTAAGTTTTATTTTTAAATTAAAAAAACTGGTAGAGTTGATATGAGTTTTCAAGTTGAAAAAATCTCACATTTAACCTTCAGTTAAGGCGTTAACAAACCTACCTTAAATTTTAACATGGCTGGGCCAGTTAATGATATTTTTTAACTCAGTTAAGTTAAATTAAGATCTAAATCAAGTGAATAGTTAAAAGTTAATCTAAAATTGTCTGTCAATTGAACTAAGTTAAAAAGTTAACCAACATTTAATATTAACTTTTTAACTCAGTCAAGTTAGTTAAAAAACAAGTTTCTTGTTTTCATACATAGGTAAAATAAAAACAATCTGTGCCTAAAATTGTCCATGTTATTAGACTAAAGAACTATTATTATTTTATGTGTTTCAAAACAAGTAAAAGTACACATTTTTTTAGGATACTTATAAGTATAACTTATAAAATGTGTACCAGCAATTTATATTCCTATAGGCTATAATAATTCACATGATTTTTAAAAAAATGTATACTTTTAATGAATAAAAAAATTTATATGTATACTTGTATACACATTTTAAATTGTATTTATTGTTTTTCTGAAAATATTCCTAAGTATTAATTGCTCATTATTTTCAATTTTATAATAATAAAATAGCATTATAAACTTTACTTTAAATTATACATTTAAATTGTATAAATATAATAAAATATATTTTGTATAGCTAAAAGTCTAAAACTCCCTTGGAGACACAATATAGGTAGATAATTAAATATTAAAAAAAAACAAATGATAAGAATCAAATAACGGCGACGACGCTGAAAAACCAAGGGCATGGATAATATTCGTAATTTCATAATTTAGGTAGGTAAGTATTTATATTTTATACGAATTTGAAAACATATTCCATAATAATGAAAATTGAAATTAACTTAGTTTTTTTTTTTTTATTAAAATTGAGTGTTACTGACATCAAGGTCATCTAACTTATTGCTATAAGAAATTTTTTTTTTACATTCGATAGTTAAAAATAAATAATAAATACAATAAATACAGTAATTTACATAGATGAATAGCTAAATAATAAAATATGACATCGAAATAATTAGTTTAATTAGGTGTGTGATTTTTTTTTTATGAATATTATTCATTTATTGGTGTTGAGAAAAGGCATCAAGAGGACGTCCGTGCTTAAAACGACGGAGGGTAGGCTTGTCGTTAAGTTTGAAATATTTTGCACATTTGGCGTTGTTTAGCTGGCCAAAGAAATTGACTGAGAGATTCTGTATGTAGGATTTAACCATCGGGAGTCTGAAGTCTGTATGGAGCGCTTTGTTTCTGACGAACCACGGCGCGTTGGATATTATGCGTAAAATCTTGGACTGGGAGACTTGAATTTTATTTATGTGAGTTTTGGCACAGTTTCCCTAGATAGGGGCATCAAGTTAGTTAAAAGTTAATTCAAAAGCTCCTAAAGTTAATAATTAAATTAATAATCATAAAAAAAAATTTACTTATTAAGTTAACAAATTAAACTAACATAACTTTTTAACTTAACTTTAACATATTAACGCGTTAATGCTCAGCCTTGAATTTTACAATACCATGTATAATGTATTAATCGGAACAAATAAATACTTAAAATAATAGTCAAGTAACTTCATAAGTATATATATATAAATATAATAGGTAAGAACTAATTAATTTCAACACGTTTTGGATTATAAAAATCAAATGAATTGTATTAAACCAATGGAGCTAAAGTGTAGGAAATATTATACTAATCTTTAATAGTTTCATTATTTTGCTATAGGTAATACAACTGTCAGTACCTACGTCTATTATAGTTAAAAATTTGTCTAATATAGTTTATATTAACTAAACCATAGATATTGTTCTGAATATAGTTTATAACTACCAATAATGATGGTACAAAGCGTAACCGAGCACAATCTGATTCACAACAAGGCCCACATCAATCCGGAAAACCCGTAAAACCCGAAGGCCCCTCTGGATCAAAGCCGAACCTTCGAAAAATGGTAATTTTTATTGAAAAAAATGTTTAATATACTAATGGTCACTGGTCAGTGATTAAACACTTCACAATAAAACAACCCGGTAGGTCCAATCCGGGGGGGTGAGCAAACAGGGATTCTGAGATTTGAGAAGGAAACTTTTGTTTATAAATGGTTGCAATTGATTAATTGGGTAGATCAGGTATAAGTACGCATCAAATTGAATTTTCACCAATTGCCTACCAAGGTGGCTAAGTTGCACTTAAAGCCTCTCATAGGCGTCAAAATCAATCGACTAAAAATCAAAATAAATATAAGTACAAATAAAACATATTATTCATGTGGAGTACTCACCGAGCAGGGTCTGCAATAACCCACCGCTGGTGGATTTCCTACCTGATACTATACTGTTTGTATTATCACAAGCGAGTCTCATATAGAGTTGGCACTTTCAACAAATTGCAACTAATTGCAGGGGATCCGGATAATTTATACACTATTTATATGTATAATTTATTGTCATACTGGTTTTGTCCAAAAAAATAGCGAGTGGGTTAATCATATTTCCCTATGCTTCTCGTATAATTCCTTTTCTGTGTCCATTTTGATTTATATATTCTGTGATGTCATACATACCAAACTTTCTAGTTTTGATGATTAAAACAGTTAATAAATAAAAAAATCTATAGGTATATCTGAACATCATGTGTTCAGCCTTCTGCATACGCTTTTCTAGAACCAATGTTCGTACGGGCATCAGTACGACAAATTATAATCAGACCTCAACTGCAAATTAAGTCCTCCCTTCCATATTTTCTCCGTAAAATAATAAGTGGTGAATACCACCAGCTACGATCCGCTGGCCATCCTGTTGTAGGTACGATTGAACCACCACTGCTGTTCTGTTGTTGCTATACATAGTAGGTATATTGAAAAAAAACAACTCCCGTTATTATGCTTTTCATAATTCATAATCTACTTTAGGAAGAAGAAAAGAAGAAACAAAATTTAGCCGCCGCCGCCGCCGCCGCGAAAAAAGCTGAAGATGATAAAAAAAAAATACCTACCGAAACCAAACCAGACAACCCTGTTAATTCAGACGAAGATGAAGATCCCGTGAAAGAAAAACCCGTTGGTCATTTCAGAAAAATGTTCAGTGTTTTTAAACGATTAAACAAATTCAGAAAAAAAATATGTCCATTTAGATTTGTTGGCCGTCTTTTAAAAAAAAATAAGATGGGTTCAAACAAATTGAAACCAACGGATGACGAGGAATCAGATCCCTGATAAAAAAAATAATAGATACCTACATAAAAAACAGGCGTGTAAAATTTTTACTTGCTACACCAGCTAATGTACCTATTAAGATTATAATAAAATCATAATGATTAATATTATGCGTATTATGCTCATTTTTAAAAATTGAAATGTCTTAAACAAGTTTGAAATTTCCCCACCCTTAAAAATTTCAATTTTTCAACTTTTTCCAAAGCCAATATTTAGTGCTCCCTTCCTGCTGATTCGTGCCGCCACTTCCGGAATTCTTGCTCAATCATTGCTATTAAGGTAACAGTATGTTACTATTAGACAAAATTAGTATACGGTTTAATTTCAAATTGATGAATATTTATTCTTTGAATTTATCAATATAACATTTCAAACGTTCATGCAAGGATTAAGGTGGGTCGTACAGTACGACTCGTACTATACTCTATTCAGAATAAGACCGTGACTCGGCGGCCGAGTTGTGCGTATGGGCGTGGCTTTATTCTGTGGCAGTGCCCGACATGCCACCGTAAGGGGGGGGGCATTGTCTGACCGTCGTGGAACGAAAACTTGTCGCCGCCGGGTCACGATCTTATTCTGAATAGAGTAGGTATCTATAGGCACCTATATTTTAATATGATTTTCTGTGCGTAATGCCTATATTGGTTGTTTATTTATACTTATATAGTAATGCACCCATAACTAAGTTATGATAACTTTGTCGATCAAGCCATTTCAATACAAACAGGTACGTTTGGAATTGTATTATAATAATACGATGAAAATATCTATCATTATATTGTAATCTCAATATATTTTAGTTGTCCTAGTGTCCTACGACCAGTGGTTTTTGATGACAAACTTTTACACAGTTGCGTGTCATAAGTTCGCCATCTCTGCATTAGACTACTAGACAAGCAATGAGTGTATGGAAAGCGAACCACATAGAGAGCGCTTTTTGCTATTCGTATACAAGGTAGTACGGGGTAGTAGTAAAATAAATAGATATTTAGATTATTGTATATTATCTTAAAAACAGCCAATATCACGGGTCATCATGTTGTTACGCCTCTCGTAATGCTGATGTTATATACTTATATACAGTTCTTCAAGTTCTTGTCTAGTAGTATATGGTCTATATGGCTACCGCGTACAAGATATTAGATTTAATTATACATCGGTGATCTTAAAGAATAAGTTACCAACTTCTAGGTTTAGAAGCACTTTTAGATGGAGAATATAACTACTATTAAACATTATAGACATTATAGATGAAAAAAAAAAAACCGTTAAATTAAGTACAGTAAGTTTTATTTAACTCATACAATAAATAAGTAAATACTTATTAGGCACATCACATTCAATACTGGCGGTTGTTTTAAACATTAAAAATTGAATACAATTAATTTGATAAACAAAATAATAATATCATGACTATTACAACAGTGCAATACAACACTGAGAACATAGAATGTTAACAAATTAAAAAGAATAAAATAATAATATTGGTACTTATCTACAATATTGATAAATAAATAATAATTACTATAACTATGTGGTAAATTGTGTTTGTGTAATACTTAATAAAAATCATTAATTTAATATTTTTAAAATAAAATAACAATGAAAAGTTTAATACTATATATTTGATGTATAATAGGTACATAATAAATATGATTAGGTATATTGAAATAGGGTATCAGTGATTAAAATTTGAAAATTCTAGTATTGCACAAATTAAAAAACTTATTGTATTATCTACAAGGGTAAAACTTTAAAATAAATAAATATAATAATACATAATATTTAAAATAGACATTTTAAGTGTATAAAACAAAACAAAAATTTGCTAAAAAAAAAAAGAATGAGTGTAACCATAACACTACGCGGAGGGAACAATAAATTTAGAATAGTACAATAAGTAATATTCATAATAACTTTTCAAACCATCAATACTTTCTCCTACACAATACTGTCAATAATAACTTTGTTACATTTAGGGTTTTGATTGACATTAACATTCTATATAAATGTATGTAATAATATTATGTATTTATATACCAAATAAAATTAAGTACTGAACAATGTTTTTTAAAAAAATTGACAATGATCTAATAATACTATATAAATACACATTATAGTTATATTATTATTAAAATGGCTGAAGACAAAATCTTTCAAGAATAGAAAAAAAAAATACTAATAAAAGAAATGAACCGGCCACAACCTTGGTTTCTTATTATTACACAATAACATACACACAACAAACGTACATTTTTGAATGAGCTTTTTCAATGCATCACTGATATGGTAGGCACACAACTTAAACGCTTCGTTCTTTAAGCACAGTATGAGTATAATGCGTTATATAATATGTAAATACAGTTATACCATATACATAAATACAATTCATCGTAACTTCATAATACAAAACTACTACAGTCTACAAGAGTATCATACAAGTTACGCGCAACCAATATGATGTAATATACATTTTTAATTTATTTTATTAGTATTATTACAATATTAAACTTGAAATTCAATGAATTGTTATGTGTTAATATTTTTAGGCACCAAAAAAAATATGTACACATATTGAAAATGGAGTATATCACAGTAATTATTCAATTCATTTTACTGGATTAATAGCAATATTATACACAAATATATACCTATATATAATAATAAATGGCAATGTCGACAAAACCTTTATGCGCACAGTTTCGTTGTCATAATATTTATTAATATTAATAAAATAGTTCTATAACTATTAATTGTAAATACTAGCAATTCGTAAATGCAGTTAAAAAAAATAATAAAAAAAATACTGTTTATAATAACACTAACGCAAAACATGGCGAGTGTGGTTTTAAACATTGATTTGCATTTAAATACTTTCATGAAATCGAAGGAAATTGAATAATATTATCACAATGATGCAGAGTAAAAAAATTATACTCCAAAAATATAATTTTTTTTTTTGGAATGAATTGTTATTTAAATGGAATGTATTTCATTACAACCATAGTTTTGATATAGCACTATTAAAATGCATTAATACTAATATCATATCTTTAAGTTATTGACTAGTCCTATTAATAATAAACCTTAATCTATTCTTCACATTCGGTTAAAATAAGATTATTTTTTTATGTTAAGAGAATATCGTTTCTTATATTTAAAAAAAAACGATTTTTGATTAAAAATTATAAACTACATATTATATCAAAAAATTAAAAAAATTCTGAAACACATTTTTTAAAAGTGATTTACAGAAGAAACAACTGGAAACACATTAATAAGATTAGAACTGTAATTTCTAACAAAGTGAAATTGTAATATTAACATAAAGTTATCACTCACTAAGTTATTTAAGACCAACATAAATCACTATGAATACAAATAAAACTTGAATAGAAAATTGTAAATATTTGGTAACACTCTTTCCTTTTGAACATAAATATAAATTAGTCATTTAAGTTAACAACCAAAGATGATCATGTGTTAAAATATAAATTATCTGCTTTAAACATTGTTTATTGCAAGACATACAACAAACAATACCACAATAATACATCACATTTATCCCTATAAAGTGATTAAATTATTGCATACATTTTATACTGGTAAGTATACTTTTACATTGAGCTCCAACTTTGTAAAATATTACTGATGAATTCAAATTCAAATTATTATATATATATATACATATATATATGTGTGTGTGTGTATGTGTGTGAATGAAATACAAGTGGAAAGCTGATTAATATCTCTGCTGGAATTCATGGTGCCATCTGTTGTAGTCAATATGGAATATGACAATCGATCCAGTGGACAGCCCAGCCAATAAAAACCTTAAAAATAATATTAGTTTTATATTTTTATGATTAAGGAAGTATGCAGTATTATAGCTACTTTTGATCATGTGTGAGTCCTAATGATCGTACACTGCTATCGCAAGCCGGAAAAGCATAGAGTAATGATAAGTTAAATGTTCTCCATACTTCAACAATTCCTTTATCACCTCCAGTCATCAAGTACTCTCCATCTCTGCTTAGCAACATACACTGCAAAACACAATATGATATTAAGTAAGGAAACATTTTCTTTTTAATAATAACATAAAATAACTGTTGGTATTTTATTTATGCATTTGATAATTATGTACAATGAATGAGTATTTTATAAGTTTAACATAAATCATAATTTTACTTTAAATATTTTTTTAACCATATCATTATTTATTCAATTTTGAATACTTTTCAGTGGTGACAACTGATGGAAACGCGGAGTATCGGAATACCCAACCATAAAATTGAAGAAAACATTTATGACTAGATAAAAATAAATACTAGACTAATCTCCAATCTTAAATAAATTGTATAATAATTAATATAAATAACAAATTATTTATGTGTTATGTATTTGAAGTAAATCATTACTTGAATATTATCATTGTGTGTTGTATGTCTCAGTCTTTTTCCATTGATTGTAAATGCTGCAATGCTACCATGTTCATAGTTCACAACAATTATGCCTTCTCGAGACATAACAGCACACTCAGGGTTTTCAAAACCATTAGGAGGATCCAGAGACCTAAGGAGATCACCAAATGTTGTGTGAACAAGAACTGGACCACCTAAAATTAAAATACCATCCCTTGTTAGTATTAAAATTTGTGATACAACAAAAGTAATGCATGCTATACAAACCTGAAGATGCAGATACGACCAATCCAAGTTCGGCAGAAATGGCCACTGAAGTGACTGGTTGTTCATGACCCGTTAATGTGGCTCTAGGAGTCGGATGATCACCTTCCCCAACTATTGTCTGACTTCGAGCATTCCAATGCCACAATAGAATGGTGCAGTCGGACGATCCGCTGGCAATGTAACAGTCTGAAGTAATATTGCATTCACTGCGACTCAAGCATGTCACCACTCCATAATGGCCAAATACAATTTGAACAATTTTTGCTATAAATAGAAATAAACAACAAGTGTTACTACAGTTTTTAAAATTAAAATGCAAACAAATCTTACCAGTTTCTGTGGAAAAAACTCGGAAACTATTGTCCCAAAAACCACAAACGATCAAGAAACGACTGTCCACTGTTGTAACAAAACAA